TTTTTTTCGAGATTATATTTTTTTCCAAAAGCATGTCAAAACAATATATAATTTGATGTTAAAATTTGATTAATTTTTTTTTTAAATTTTAATACAATCTTAAATATTTTTAATATAAGAAACCTTATCGTTGGATATTGACTATTTTTAATTTATAAAATCATTAAGAAAAAGTCAAAAAACTAAGAAATATTTCTTTCATTAGATTTAAAAGGTCATTTCAACTCAAAAAAAAAATATACATGACTGTTGTTTTTCAAATAAGCATAGACTGCGCCAGAGGTACCTCCTTCACACTGGATAGAATATTGTTCAAATGATAACAAGTTATTTTTCTTTTTATAAAAAGACGACTATCTCTTCTCTTATATCTATTCAAATTCAGAAATTAATTATAAAAATCCCTTGATGATATTGAGTGTAGTCTTTGTAATAATTTCATACGCTGATTTAATATAGATATTATAAACATAACAATTTATATACATAATTATTATGAATACTGAATCAATTGTGCAAGTTTAATCAATTTTTTGTTAATTCGTGTACTTTTATTACGAATATTATTCATGATTTTTGTCTTTTGTTCTGAAAAAAGAATTCTAGGCATATGATAGATGTGTAGGATAAGCTTTTTTTCATACTCTGTACTCACTTAACCTTATTCTGCGAAGTTTTTATTGCACATTCCTTAATTTTACGCTAGTTAGAACATTCTAAAAGTAATAAATAGCAAAATAGCATCACAGTAAAAATTTCCAGGTTACACTTTTTACGCCTCGTGCACTCAGACTGAGAAAAATATTCTAATTCTACTCTGCCTTGAAGCACGATGAACCTTATTCTACCCTACAGGACCGTGTAAACCTGCATATCTCTAATTTACATAATAAAAAAAAACATATTTCTAAACAGAAATAAGGATTTAGGATGGCATCAAATCTTCTCTATTTCATTTAACTTTTTAAAATTTTCTTCAAAAGCAAGAATAATAATTTATAAAAACAAGTAGTATACAGTTCAGTATATATTTTTTGATCAATAGAGAATTCTTATTGTAAATCTGTTTCTTCTTTTTTTTTTCAAATTCAAATTGTTGAGAAAATAAATATTTTAATATTATTTTTTAGGTAATTATGATGATGAAAATGGTTCATATATTGCTATACAACATGATCATATTGCTTATCGTATGTTGAAAAGAAAAACAAAATAAATTAATTTTTATAAAAATAAAACAAATATATTTAGGTTATGAAGTGTTAAAAATTCTTGGCAAAGGTTCATTTGGTCTTGTTGTTAAATGTTATGATCATAAAAATGGTCAACAAGTTGCATTAAAAATAATTCGTAATGAAAAACGTTTCCATCGACAAGCTCAAGAAGAAATTCGTATATTAGAACATTTACGTAAACAAGATCGTGATAATACATTTAATATAATTCATTTATTTGAATGGTTTCAATTTCGTAATCATATTTGTATTACATTTGAATTACTTTCAATGAATTTATATGAGTAAGTTTTTATATTGATTTTAATTTTTAAAAATTAATTATTATTTATTTATTTTTTTTATTTATCTATCAAAAAAGATTAATTAAGAAAAATCGTTTTCAAGGTTTTAGTTTACAATTAGTAAGAAAATTTGCACATAGTATATTACAATGTCTTGATGCTCTATATCGAAATAAAATTATACATTGTGGTAAGAAACAAAAACAAAATTGTTTTATTTGTAATAAAATAAATATTCATTTATATATTATATTTATTTAGATCTTAAACCAGAAAATATATTATTAAAACAGCAAGGTAGAAGTGGAATTAAAGGTATGATTAAATAATTTTTTTTTCTTTTTGTGTTTTTCGATACAAAAAATATTTTTATTTTCTAGTAATTGATTTTGGTTCAAGTTGTTTTGAACATCAACGTGTTTATACATATATTCAATCAAGATTTTATAGAGCACCTGAAGTTATTCTTGGAGCTAAATATGGTTTGTTATTAATTAATGAATTAATTAATAATAAATTGTTATTATGTATAATTTAGGATTACCAATTGATATGTGGAGTCTTGGATGTATTTTAAGTGAATTATTAACTGGTATGCCTCTATTTCCTGGCGAAGATGAAGCTGATCAATTGAGTTGTATCATTGAGGTAATTGGAATGCCTAGTCAAAAAGTACTTGATGCCTCAAAGCGAGCAAAAAATTTTGTTAGTTCGAAAGGACATCCAAGATATTGTACAGTAACAACATTACCTGATGGAACAAATGTTTTACAAGGCGGTAAATATAATAAAAATTTTTAAAATTGATACAAATAACATGAAAATTTGTTTTTTTTTCTTTCATTTTAAGGGCGTTCTAAACGTGGCAAACATCGTGGACCACCGGGTAGTAGAGATTGGTCACAAGCATTAAAAAATTGTGATGATCCATTATTCATTGATTTTCTTAAACGCTGTCTTGAATGGGATCCACAAATAAGATTAACACCAGCACAAGCCTTACGGTAAGTTATTATAAATATAATTACTTAATATGACTATTTTCATTTGAGTGTATTCCTTATATTTTGTGTATTAAATACATTCAGGTATTTAAATAGTTAATCTATTGGCACATCTCTCTAGTTTAGAATACTACCGAGGGAATCACTCAAACTTTGATCTGTCGTTTGAACTCATATTGAACTCACAAGAAGTTTTCGATAAAACTAGAAAAACTCTACAAGGGTTTGTGATCATGAACTTTTGGAACCGAGTTATGACCGTTTTACTGAATTTTCGACCAATTTTTAGGTATTTACTAAAAAAACAAATAATAAAATTTTGATTTGAAATTCAATCTATAGATAGGTCTAATGACTCTTGGAATATCTAGAAAATTTCAATCAAAAAAATTATTCCTTTATCAAGATATTGAATTTCCAAGTAAACTCCTTTTTTGTGACATGCGTGTGCCAAACGACTATGTATTGGAAATTCAATAGCTCAACAAAGAAATATTCTTTTCGACTGAAACTTTCATGACATTCTACGAGCCATTAGACCTGTCTATGGGCTTAATTTCAGATCGAAAATTCAATAATACGGTGGCAACTCGATTCGAAAAGCACTAGAGATACGAATCCTTTCAAGCTGTTTCTAGTCTTACCGGTATTTCCTTGTGGACTAATATGAACTAAAATAACAAGTTATAGTTCGGAAAATTTCCTCCATAAGTACACAAATCAGTATTGAAGCTATTTTTATATTTGTATGTATGTTCTCAATATTTTAAGAACTATGTTTGATGTTATGTTCTTTTAATTCCTATGTTTTAATTTCTTGAAAGAATTTATTCATTGCTCCATGTTGTTTGTCTTGAAAAAAAAACGGCGTTAGCGCAATTTCTACGAGATTAAAATGTGAAACATGATGTAGCTGTTATTATTAATCACGAGAATATTGTCTTACTTGATCTATTTCGGGATCCATTTTTTCATCATCTTTTACTTAATCCTGTAGAACTGCAAGAAAGAAGTAGTTCATATATGCTCATGAGATGTTCGTGATAGATAATCGCTAATCATGTATCAAAGAACGTCTGTCACTGTCTGTGATGATCTCTGAAATTCGTCTGTCACAGTCTATGGATGGACCCAAATTTCTATTTCTATACACTTCAACACTTCTTTTAGATCGTGTTTTTACAAAAGTTAATTATTATGAATCTTTTAGACATTCTTGGCTTCGTCGTCGTTTACCGAAACCTCCATCTGAAGCTCCACCACCAAATCGTCCATCGGCTGTACTTCGTCATCATCATTTACTTGCCGTCCAACAACAACAACAAAATACATCAAATGGTGATATAAGTGTAACTGCTGGTAGAACAAATAGTGGTACGGGTGGTAATAGTGGTATTTATACAACTCATCATCATCATCATCATCATCAACAACAACAACCATTATATAATACAACTAATAATACAAACTCAAAAAATTTCTCTTCCACAAATGAGCTCAATAGACACCAAAAATTACCACATATTGGTGGTGTTCAACTTAATTCCATTATCGACTAACAACAACCCAAATAGTGTTCATCTTCTTTTCTTTCTTCTAGTGTGATGTGTGTGTGGTGTTGTTTTATCCCTAATCTTACTATTTTTTTTGTTTGTTTGTTTGTTTTTTTTATTTTGCACGTTAAAGATGTTTTTTTTTCTCTTTCCCATCATAATTGTCAGATTTCGTTCTTGTTTCTTTTCTCCATCCGTCCATTGAGATATTTGAAAAAAACAAAGAAAAAGAAAACATGTTTTCCTATTGAATATGACTTATTTTATTCATACTCCCGCGTGAGAGATCCTTTCAATAATAGTGAGTAGCCTATCTGTGAATGAGAATGAAAAATATTTCCTTGTTTTGTTTTATCTTGTTACTGAAATTTATAAATATAAATTTATATTTATATTTATTTATTTTTCTTTTCTCATAATATCATTTCTCATTCAATCTATTTTACTTTTTTCATACATATATGAAACATTGTTTTTTTTTCTCACACTTTGTATAAAATGTAATTCAAAACAAAAAAATTAATTTCTCTATTTTTGTTTTTCTTTTTTTTCGAAATATTTAAATTATTTCACCCCGAACACAAGAACACATCAAATCTGTGCTTTCATATTCAATAAAAAAACAACAAAAAAAAAATCAATAATACAAGCTGTGTGATATCTTTCTGTTAGTGTATGTGTTCATTTTCTTTTCACCTATTTACCATTTCTTTGTTTTTTGAAGAAACCAAAATAAGAAAAACGAAAACTTCTTTCATGTATTTCATAGTTTATTTGTTTGTTTTGTTTTTGATAAAACATAAACAGTTTTATAATTACAATCAAATAGCCAAAGCACTAAACGATAATGTTAATTATTATTCTAAGTTGTAGATTGTTATCAAATATTAAAAAACAAAGATGCACTCATCAACTCTATATACTATGATAAGAGAACCATCACGTCCTGAAACTTCACTTGCTATTAGTGCACGTCGAACAGAAGCACGCGATGCAAAACAAGCCAAACAGTTAATACAAACATATACAACAGATGTATTTGGTCGTGTCAGTCGTGAAGAAAATATTTCTTATATTTTGTAAGAAAGAAAAATTCTTCTTTTTTGTTCTTCGAAAAAAGAATTTATTGATATTCTTTTTTTTTGTAAAACAAGGGAACATTCAATATTTTCTTTAACATTGGATAATAATCACGATACATTTTATGCATTAGCTGCTTTTTATGATTATCCAAATGTTCATGGTGTTTCATCAAATGATTGGGAAGAAAAATGGTGGAAAAATTTTTATGGAAAAAATGATGAAACATTAAAAATAAATGCAACTAATACACTTTTTTTACATTTATTTGTTGCGCATCCCGATTTTTCTGAAGGATGTGCACAAGAATTAATCAATGTTACATTTAAAGCATTACCAGAAATAAATCAAATTCTTCTTTGTGTACCTCCACAAGTTACACCAGGTTTGTTTAATTGAATATTTTTCAAAAAATCTCAATTTTCTAACTATGATTGTTTTCTAGAAAGTGCTTTAGAAAAATATTTTCAACCTATTGAATATGATCGATCTGATAATAATTGTGTTGTTATGATATGTCATCGTAAAGATCATTTTCCAACATTATTTATTCGAACAGCTCGGTAAAACAAAAAACTTTTATTTCAAAAATTATTCAAAAAACAAACTCTTTTCTAGAGTACAAGATAATGATGATCTTGCTCCATTATTTAATCAATACAATGATATTCTTAAACAAACTTATGGTGATTTTTTTGTTGCTGAACTTATCGAATCACAAGATGAAAATAATAAAGCATTAGTTGCAGAAGTAGTTATAAATTAACATCAATCTATTAAATCATTTATTTTAAAAAAATTTTAGTGTAATGGTTATGCTATTGGTTTTATGAGTATTTCAAATGAAGTAAATATTGATATACTCAATGAAGTTTATTCATTATCAGCTTTTCATGGTTTACGTGCATCACATCCAGATGATCAATGGAATCATCAAATGACTGAAGAAACTGAAAGTTATTTACCTAATTCAGATATATATATACATGGTGATGCAACAACACATGATGACGAAAATATTCACATAAAACCTAATCCTGTACTTGAAGCTATGCAACGAGCTGTCGGAAATGAAGGTTTTATTGAATCATCTATTAATGCTACACCATCAATTGGTGCAGATATAAATAACAAACAATCAAAAGTAAATCAAGGACAGCTTGATCATGATAGTTTAACAGCATCGGATTATATAACAACACCACCAAATAAATCAATTGAAGAACTTGATAATTTACAAGAGTATGTATAAATTAAATATTTGAATTAGGTTTTTGTGATTTAAAAAGAAATTGAATAATGTTATTTTTTTGCTTTTTCTTTTGAACAGAGATGAAAATATTAACAATGATGCTGTTTTAGAAATAACTGATACATCTTCACATCGTGCTAAAATGACTAAAGCACAGGTAAAATATTGTTCAAATCAATAACTATACTAATATCCGCATCAGGATTAAAGAGATGTGGATGTAATTTGACAATGCCAATAGCTAGCGATTTGCAATTTTCAGCAATCGAAAGAAGAGAACTGAAGATGTCTTTTTACCTGATACTGTATAAGATAAAACTATTTTACAACTAATCGTCTTTAGAAAACATTCAAAAAAAGAATGCATGAAGATCGTGTTCTGTTTCAATGTAAGTATGCGATTCAGACAGAGAGACTTCAGATCGATAGTTCAGACACCGTTTATGCAATTATCATCTCATAGGGCAATGTTAAGTAAACAAAATTCCATATCTATTCAGTCAAATTTTATAGATTGCTATTGATTTTTAGCAAATTTTCAAACTTTTTATCAAAATCTTTTTGTAACAGAATATTGTTTTGATGTATTTTTGTGAATGTTTTGCGAAGATAATGAGTTTTAAAATAATTTTGTTTTATGTAGTATCAAACAAAACGATGTCCAAAGTTCCTCTCTTTCGATTGCTGAAAATTGCAAGTCGCTAGCTGTTGTCATTGGCCAGTTATTAAGCTTACATCAATCTCTCTTTGATTCTAGTGCATACACTAGTTGCATTTGTATCTCACGAGAGAACGTTTTCAGCTGATCAATCGCTTTTGAATACAGATTGTGTGCATAAGATAGACTCCAGTGAGATATGAGAAACCTCAAAAATGATAAGTTTCTTTAAACCTTCTATTTAGAGTTCTAGACATTTTACTGGAGTTTTAACTTCTAGCATAGTATATACGAACAAATCGGATGACGGTATTTTGATCTAAGATTTTGCCCACAGACAGATCTATTTTTTTAGTAGAATGTCCTAAAAATTTCAATTTAAAAGAATGTTTCCTTCTCGAGATATTAAAGTCCCAAAAAAAAATAGAATACCCTAACATTTTACATGAAATATGAGTGATGTTTACCACTTTAGTATCTCGGAAACGAAATATTCTTTTGAACTGAAGTTTTCAGAGCATTCGACTGGCCAATACATCTCTCTGTAAGTAAAATCTCAGGTTGAGATATTGTCATTCGATTTGTTGCTATATGCTAAGTCCAGAGACTGGAATTTCAGTAAAATGCCTATAACTCTGAATAGAAGATCTAAGGAGACTTATTCTTTTGAAATTTTTCGTATCTCATGGAAGTCTACCTTAGGCACCAAGTCCAAATTCAAAAGCGATTGATCAGTTGAAAACATTCTCTTGTCAGGTTTTGTAAAGCGATTTTTGACGTCCGTATTTTTTTGTTTGCTTTATAAACATAAAAATTATGCCATTTGTAACACGGCTGACGGAAGAAAAATTTATTTGAAATTATGAAAATAATTTTACGAATGATTTTTGACTTTGAAAAGTTTATAAATTATTTCAACTATATAATTGCAGAAAAAGATAATTTACGATATCTAACTTTATTTTGTCTTCTGTTTTTATGAACTTATAGTTAGCAGCGGAGGATCCATCGAGATATATCAAACCAAAATTAATTAGTCAAGCACCGAAATTTTTTGGAAAAGAAAAAGCTTTTGCTATTCAATTATTTTGTATTAGTGAAATTTATGAAAAACGGTAATTATTTATATGAAATTTGTTTTTTTTTTTGAAATAAAAATTTTCTCTCATATTTATATTTTAGTTCTTATGATTTTCTACAAAAAGGTTTTGATATGTTTCCTGATCGTGATTATTGTGTAATAACAATACCACAAATGGTACCAGAATTTCCACTTTTACAATCATTTATTGTATGTTTTTATTTTTTTTTTTCTATTTTTGTTTTTCTTATGTAATTGATTTTATAGCGTATTCCACCACGTGTTAATTTACCAAATATTCAAGAATTATATTTATTTCATCGTGCTGGTTTATTACGTGATATTTCTGTTGAACGTGCTTCAGAAAAGCATCTTGATGCAATTAAACGACTTACAGAACATTTTTCTGCACGTGAAAAAATTTTAAATGATTTTTCGGATGCTGTACGAAGTCGAAAACGAAGTGTAAGTCTTATATTTATTGCTATTGTGATCAATAGTATTGACATATCTATGTAATAGCTTGAGATCAAACTACGTATCATCAGAATATGAACTATTGTTCATTAGAGTGAACTAGCTAGATTAAGAATTTAAAATAAAAATGCATTACAAAGAATGCATTAAATAATTATATATTTCAGGATACGGGTGTTTTTCTCGATGCTTATATCATCAATGTTGCTGATCGACCAAGTGCTTTAATTATTTTTAGTAATGAAGAAGTTAGTTGTTTTCTTTGTTATTTAATATTCATAAATAATTTATCTTTTTTTTTTTTGTTTTTCTTTGTTTAGAATATTGATTATCTTCGTTCACAATATAATATCGAAGATTTTATTTATTTTAATTTACATAAACGTAGTGATCATATTCATTTATATCATTTTGTTATTAATCCAATATTTGCATATATGACAAAAATATTTATAAAAGAAGTTTTAAGAAAAATTAATAAAACATGTATTTATTATCCAATATTTCCACGATATGCAGATGATGAAGTATTATAATTTCTTTATATTTTTGTTTCGATATGTAATAATTTTTTTTCTTCTTATGATTGTTTAGATGCTTAAACATCATTCACCAACTTATGCTATTCATTATCTTTTACCAGTACGTCCACGTCGTTTAATTCAATATAATTTAGATCAACTTAAAACGAATGCACCAACTGATTGTGTACTTGGTAGATTACCAAGTTTAATGCATAGTCCATTTGCATTAACATTTACAGCTATTAAACTTATTATGGAAACAAAAGTAAATAAAACAAGAAAGAGAAAAAAAAACGATCATTAGCTACATATTTTATTTTATAGATAACAATTAATGCTAGAATTGTTATTGTTGGTGCATCGACAGTTGGTATGTTTTATGAGAAACTTTTTTTTTTTTGTGTTTTGATATTTTATATCGAATAATTTTTAGGTTTGGCTGTACTTGAAGCTCTTGTTACATGGTAAGTAATATATTGAAAAAGAAAACAATTCGTTTTATTACACATATAAATAACAATAGAAAAATTTATATTAAATAAGCATATAAAGAATATTATGTTTTTGTATTAATCAATAGATTAACATTTTCTTTATAGCCCTTATCTTCGTTTTAATAATCTTACTTTAATTTCACCACATGGTATACCAGGTGAATTTCCACCTTCACTTTCTCGAAATTTATTTTTACCATCAAAGTAAGCAAAACAAAAAAAGACAAAACGAAAATAATTTGAAATAAAAATAAAATTTTTATTATTTATGTAGTCTTGAATATGAAACAGAAGAATTAAATCGTCTTTCACTTCATTCATATGTTAATATTGTTTGTGCCAAATTAGTTAGTCTTAATCGACCAATGAAATTAGCTATACTTGATGATGAAACTATTGTACCTTATGATCATTTACTTTTATGTACAGGAAATCAATTTCATATCATTGCACCTATGCAAGCTACTGTAATGAATCCATTAAGTAAAAAAGCTGTACCACCACAATCGGATCGAATTTTATTTGGTATATTTATATTTAAAAACAAAAAACAAAATTTTCTTTGTCATATTTATTGATATAGAACCTGCACCACCAAATATATTAACAATTAATGATGAATTTGATGCTGCAATGGTACTCAAATGGCTTCGAATGACTCATCATACTGAACGTAAACAAAAAACAATTACTAATTCACCTATCCTCCACAGAATAGTAGCCTACAGGCTTTTATTGCGATTTAACTTTTTTCTTGTATTGTAACTATGATTTAATTCACTGATTAGCACAATAATGCATAAGATTTGATAAATTGGAGTTTTAAAATTATTTGAGTAGTTTGATAGTTATCAACGAACCAAACATTGACTTTTATACTTTTCCAGTTCCTTGTTATGAGATAATTTGAATGATGCGTTCATTACGCTACTTTTTTCATTCATACGTTCGTCTGCTATCCGTGGATTTTAATATAGATTTTGTTAAACCGCACTTATTGTGATACTTTAATTTGAGAAACTATCGAACTTTGAAGAAGTTGAGAAAAAATTTCTAGAAGATTCTGTCAGGTGACGTCATTTTAGAAGCTTATGTACAGTTTCGAAATGCAAGAAGATTTATTTTAATGAATTTAAAAGAAGTATAAAGTAAACTTTTTACTATCAAATATGATCTTCTCATTTCTATGAAATAGGTAGTTCAGATCTTATGACTATTTGAATAATAGATATTGTACTTATCTTATACTAGTACTTGTTTTTGAGTCCGAAAATCTCTCGCGTAATTTCAACTGACAATTATTCAATTTTGTGAGATGTTTCATTTCTAGACTGTGTATAGTGCCATAACAGGATTGCTTTAAAGCCTGCCTGCTTCCTCTTCGTCAGTTCCTGGACAATCGTCTTTCATTAATATCCATGCGTACACGTTTTTCGGCTCGCAAAAAAAATTCATTTGTTCCTTAATATGAAACATGTAGAACAAATGAAATTAGATATACCAAAGACATTACAACTAAACAATGAAAAGTTTATTTACATTTCTATTTTGTACTTGTTCGGAGAGGATTGGCTTCTATTACATTTCGAAGGTTTTAAGCTTGAAACTGGGCTTCTATTCTGTGCGAGGGAAGGGAATATTTAAAGAAAAATCAAAAACGAAAGTTTTTATTTTAAAGATTCAATTTTAATTTATGGTGCAACACTTGAATCTTATTGTTGTGTTAATGCACTTCTTGCCAATGGAATTTCATCGAATTCTATACACCTTATTTTTCCTCCTGATCATGCGAATGTAAGAAAATCTTGTATTATAATAATAATAATAATAAAGATTATGAATTTCTTTTTGTTTTTTGTATATATTTAATAATTAAAAGACAAATGTATTTAATGATTCGACTGTATTAAAATCTGTTCAAGAACAATTAAAAAAATTAAATATTGAAGTTTATGAAAATTATTTAATGGATGAATGGCGTAATCAAGGTGTTCTTGATATTAATCAACCAATTGATCATATTATATTTCGAACAAAAGATAAAAAACATGGCAAAGATCTTAATTTAAAATGCACAGTAAATATATAGATATTTTTTTCTCAATAATTATGCTTTATATTTTTAATATAATTATAGACTTTATTCTGTTTTGTTAATAAACAAGTTAATTATGATGCATTTATAGCTATAAATCAAAGTTCATTAGTATTTGATGGACGTCTTGTTATTAATGAAAATAATCATACAAATGATTCATTAATTTATGCTGGTGGATCTTTAACAAAATTTAAACGAGGCTATTATAGTGATGATCGTACACATGCTTCTTTTAATTCAAAAGAAGTTGGAAATATGGTTTGATATGTTATTATTGAAAATTTTCTATTGTTGTTTTTTTTTCTTCTTTTAAATTTTAGCTTGCTAATCAATTGTTTTCAAAATATGATCCAATTTATGTTCCACCAAAAACACCATCTGGCAGACATCCACTTATTCCAACATATAAAAAACCAAAACGAATTTATGCTATTTTACCAGGTTTATTTTTCATACAATTGTTTAATTAAATCTCATAAAAGGATTCCCTTGTATGAAACAGCAATATGTATTAGATTAAATTTTCATAAGAACTATTGAAATGATATAAAAAAAACAAATGACAGTAATCAAATTAAACATGTACTAGAACTTAAGAATAGTAAAAAAAATACAAACTATACAGTTGATTGTGATCTAGTTGTTCGTATAGTTTAAACATAGTTGAATTTCTTCCAGGATCCTACTTAGTTTTCATATACATCATCGCATGTAGTGATTAGAGGTGTAAGCCAATCGGCTGAGCCGCCGTCGCCGCCACGGAACAAGTATAGATATTTGATTTTTTTAAATTTCTGACGTTCCAAATCAGTTTCTGGATATGCCACCAGCTGGTTTCTCGTCAATAAGTCTTCTACCATCGCTTTCTGTCTATTTCCTTTCAAAATTTCTCGAAATATGTTGTCCATGAACGATCCATATTGATTTTTAGGAAATCTTCATTACTTTCAAATTTGTGAACCTGGTCCTACTGTTAAATATGAAGATCGAAAACATATCGAAAATTATGTAAATATTTTATACTATTATTTTATTTTATGGACATATCTTAAATTCTATTTTGTAAGGGTACTGATTTAATAACAAATCATGAAAATAATTATTTTCGTCTTCATCTTGATCAAACTGGAATTGTTCGTACTATTGTTTGTCTTCATCATCATCATGTAAGATTAAACTATTTTGTTTTTCAAATAAATCTATATAATAAAAATTTAGAAAATTGATGCTTATAATCTTTCTCAATTATATGGATTACATGAACGATTACTTAATAATCTTCGACAACGTTATAATGAAGGTCTTATAACTGATTTTTTTTCGTATGTATTAAAACATGTCATGTTCTTTTCTAATTTATTTTTGTTTTATTAATATTTATATTAGATATTTTCAAGAAAATTGGGCTGTTGCTTTGTATCATGATCGTTTTACTGATGTACGAAATGAAGTTCGTGAAATATTAAAAAAAACATTGGTATCTAATTCATAAAGACCTCTTTTGTTAATTTCAACTTTTGTTTTTTTTTTTATTTATCTATTTAAGATGGACAATGAAGAATCAATTTTTTCATCACTTGCTTCATCAATTGATAATGATTTAATAGTAAAAAAAAAAAAAGAAACTGAACAAACAAATTTTTATTTGTTTATAAAATTTAATTTATTACTTTTTTTTTATCTTTTTAGTTTAATGATGAACAAAAGAAAAATATATTAAAACGATTTCGCACAGAAGATTATAAAAAAGAAATTGAAGAAACCATTTTAGGATATATTAATTATAATCAATATCATTTACCAATGTATGCAAAACCAACTTGAATCTCAATAAAATTAATTGCTGAACTAATCAAATTGATTTGAGTTTTTTTTTTGCCTTTAGATTGTCTTTTGCTTTTTTGAATGAATGTAATATATCGAAAATAAAATATATATATTGCAGAAAAAAAATTTTTTTTTCCTATTAAACATACGTACACATCAATCATATAATCAAAGTAAATGAGAGGTTTCTCAGAAATGAATAATTCTTATTAGGTATTAAAGAAGAAGAAGAAGAAGAAGAAACTAATACATATTTATTAACTAAACAAAGAAAAAAAAAGATTGGATAGTAATATTCTTCTTGTTTAAAAATTCACATGACTTCTACTGAAATATCAGTTTTTTTGAATGGAAATTGTATGAAGAAATGAGTATTTTTATTAAAGTTTTGATTTTTGGTTTTTGAATTGTTTTTAAATATTAAATCGTCTATTCATAAGTATGTAAACGAGATTCAGTGCGTACAATAATTGGTACTTGTTGTTTTAATATATATGTATAAACAATAGCAGCTACAATCGAACCAGTTAAAGGACCAAACCAATAAACCCAATGATGTTCCCATGAATTTGTAACAGTAGCAGGTCCAAATGATCGAGCTGGATTCATAGAAGCACCAGTGTAAGGTCCACCAAATAAACAACCGACTATTATTGCTAAACCAACTGCTAAAGCTTTTGAACCACCAATATCTTCACGGGTTTTATCACAAATAGCATGTACTGTATAACATAAAATAAATGTAATAATACATTCAACTAAAATGGCTTGTGAAACTGTAATACCCGGAGTTATTGTATTCAAGCCTAAATTTCCTTGAACGTTAGAAGGTGCTAAAAATTTTAATAAACAAGAACCACTGATGGCACCAAGTAATTGCATACCAATATAGCATAATCCTCGTATTATATCAATTTCACATGCAACTAAAAATGATACTGTTACAGCCGGATTGACATGTGCACCACTTATATGACCAAATCCAACAACAATCGTCGCAATAGTAAATCCAGCAACGAAAGCACCATGTAAATCTGGTACAGGTTTAGATGTAATAGGTAAACCAGTGGATGTACATATTAATGTAAGTAACATTGTTCCAATAAATTCACTAAGTAAAGCTTGATAAAATGCCAATGTTCCTATTTGAGATATACAGAGTAAATCACCAGTAAATATTGATTTGTTACAATTCCTTGGTGAACATCGACATATATATTGACCAGATAAATTATGATAATGGCAACAAGTTTTATCAGTGTATGATGAAGAACGAGATCTATCATTTTCATTAGCATTATATTTTGTATCATTCTTCGTAATATGATCTGAAGAATTCATAGTTTGCTGTATGAACGGTAATACTACTTCCATCGGTGTTGTATGACAATCAATTGATGGAGATGGATGAAAACTCATTGTTAATAATTATTGAACAAAAAAATCTGAAGGATAAAAAACAACCAAGCAAAAATAAAAACGTGCATTTAATATATACATGTATTGAATCAAAGACGATATTAATACAAACAAATCGTTATTTATACAGTAGGATAACAGTGATTATGAAAAACAAAAAAAAAAGTTCAAAAATCTACCTATATATTTCCAAGCATTGATATGAATAATTCTAGTATTATTCCAACTAATTCAATGATTGATTGTCATGATTGCATCATTAAAACAGCACAACTATCTTTATTGTCGATGATTAACTATTTTCAAATTGTGTAGAAATCATTTTATGAGAAAGATATTTACCTTTTGATATCTATTACTCATAGAATATCATACTTCCTATGTAATTATTTCAAAAGACAACTATATACACATGAATGAAATAATAACAAAAAAATTGAGTATTAAATTTACGTTTTTATATTTTTTTATTTCGGACAACATTCTTACCTATTTTATATTTGTTCTCAATGTTAGATGATTAATAAAAGAAGTAAGAAAATGTAACGGTGCCACATCAGTCTCTTTTTCCCTGCTCGTAAAATATTGGCGAGTTAGAAACGCTCGAACAACATCACAAAAGTAAATACTTGACTTGGCTTGTGTATAGGCAATTTATGCATTTTGTCAATCTTTCTTTCTCATAAAATTTGTTTCTTGTTCAATACAAAAATAAAATTTCAATAGTAACCAGCTTTCTTTTTTTTTCTTTTGTTGTCATCTTGACAAATGGAATATGAAATAAAACAAACTATTCCATTCGTTAAAATGCTTTTTCGTCCTTGGAAGACATGTCGATGCATCTAACTCATTACGAATAAATTTATTTTTATTTTTCTTATATTTGCATTGTATTATTGGCATGCATAATAAACATGTCTGTTCGAAACACACGAATACAAAAAACAAGTTCGAAATAACATATATTTATGTGTATATGTATTGTTAGATCGTTTTATGAAGTCACAACAGCAAGAGCACCAGAACTTATTTAGGAACTTTTTTCACCATGTAAAAATTTAATATAGAGTATTTGAATAAAGATTGACTCATCGTGGATTTATTCGAGACAAAGAATTCAAGTGTTAAAATAATATGAAACTTAGAGTAGAATAAATAATGTAAAATAAAAATATTTTGTATAGAGAAGAAGACAGTTTAAAGAAAAAATAAATAATAGAGTTATATTGATTAAGTGTGTGACAATTTTCGAGTGAATCACTCAAGTGATGTTAATCATCGAATTCTTTTAAAGAATAAACGGAAATAAATGACTAATTCATTCTATATAGGTTTGCATGCTGAACATCTTCTTTTCGTCTACCCATTGCATTTATGATTCCTTCATCCAATTCACGAGAAAAAGAACTGATCAATAGAATCCAATTCTCATAAAGAAAAGATCTGGTTCATTAAACTGAGAGATGTCAAACGTTGAATATTGATTTTTTTCAAACAATAACTGACCATCTAGTTTAACTTCATTTACATCCGTTCCTCCAAAAAAATGATTTTTGAGATAACCATACAGACATGTTGCCTGAGATGTCAACTTTATAAATACATATATATACATATAATTGACTTTCAAAAATTTTAAGGAATATTTTTTTTAAGATTCTGGAGTTGGTTGAAGCAATTATTATTGATTACATTGTGTAATAATTGAAATACACATCACAGTAATGATGATAACATGCGTAACCTATCATTAGTTAGATCTCAACAAGCACAGTTCGATACAGTGTGTAGCGTTTTTCTCAAGATTGGCCTTTGTGCTGATGAGCGAATTTCGAACAAATTTTTTTCAAATATAGTTCATTATAAAGAAAGCTGAATTTTCTTTTGTCGTTTATTGTGGCAGTTGATGTTTCTTCGAATAAGAGAAGGAATTTTTTAAATAGGCTATAACTCTATAGAAAAACTCTAATGACTTTTCAAGATTTTAGAGATTTCAACACATTCAAAAGTCGAAAAAAAAGCAACAGTAACAAAATCCTTTTCTCTCACTTGACGACGGGTCGAGTCCATCGGATCCGAGTCCGAAAATCTTGACTAATCGGATCTGGATTGAAAGAAATTTCTATGCATATAATAATATTTTTGTAGTTTCTTTTAATTTATTTATAAAATAAAAATAGAAAAAGAAACAAGAAAGCTTTTTCTGACTATAATCTCTAAACGTAGTTATCCTTATAAATCTAGAAATCAAATCATATATTATCTCGTTCTGCACTATTATCTCGACCTACAATAGACTACTTATTAATAAAAACAAACGAAAAAAATCTGATTTTGATCAATTTTAATTAAAATATTTATTTTTTAATCAATTTTAATTGACTAACACTCATAAATAGATTTTCATCTAATTTCTCTTGTTTTTTTATTCAATTAATAAATATCAAAGCATTATATACATGTCCAAGACTAATGTGGCATCATTCTTACCATTTGCTTAGGAGAGTAGTTCGCGTTTTGTAGTCATCATGATTAAAATTGATTTTTAAAAATTTAATTGATTTTGATCCTTGTTTCGATTAGAAATCGGATTAGAATTGATTATAACTTTAATCGATTGTTTTGATGCCGACCGAAAAAAAATCGATTTTAATACAATACATTGGAAATTGGTTCGAATCTATTAGATTTTTAAACGATTGTTTTGATTTTTGGACAAAAACAAATCTTGTTTAATAGATTTTATTCGGAAAAATCGATTAAAATCATTATTTTCTTCGAAATTAATCGAAAACTACCATGTTTAATGGATTTTTTCGGATGATTTTTTTTTTCAAATCTTTTTAATCTGATTTTTACATGTATTTTTACATGCGTTGGTACTTAATAGCTTTTAGGTTTGATTTGATTTGCAATCGGATTCTGGGCTTATTTTTGAATTTGGCTTTGAATTGAGTCTCGAATAATCTAAAACTCAAACGTTTGGTAAGATAAAGTGTCAGCAACAATGATAGACTTGACTAGATGTGCATCATAGCCAGAAAATGATTTTTGATTTTACTGTCTGATACAAATCTAAACACTAAGGATTTGGTTCCAAATTTCAAAATAATCTTCCGATCGTGATGCACACCTAGTCAAATAGACCATTGTTGTTGACAGTTTCTCTTAGAAAATCTTTGAAATTCGGGTCATTAGAAACCATGGTCAAATCTGAACCGAACTCTCCAAATTCAAATCCAAATGCAAATCGAACCCGAACAATATGGAACGAAACCTCAAGGCTCGTGATTTGTTGCAGACTGAATTCGTCGAGACTATCAAATTCAGATTAGAAAATTCCATTAAGAGTTTTCAGAAGATGATTCAAGTTGGAATCACAAAAAAATTAATCAATCAACTTCGGACCCAAAACTTTTGATGGGCTGAGTTCGCTTCCGAGTCCCAAAATTCTTGGACTTGATGGACTCTATTGACGAAACAAACAATACTCTTTCAAATAAAACAATGTTCAGTTCTACATCTTGAAGTACAATGAACAGCTATTTGTACGGATCGAAGATCGATTTTGAGCCTTGATCTCTAGAAAACTCGTGAACTCTAATGTTTAGAGAGGAAAAAAAACTTCCTAAATTTACTTTTATGGGTTCAATATTTGTAGAAAATTCCAGAGCGATCCCGTGCTCTGTATCGACAATTGATTTTGAAGGTGTCGTGGAGGTCTTAATATCAAACTATGTGGTCATATTTGAAAACAATTCTTAGATAAATGTGAAATAAAATATTACGACCTTTATTTTTTATCATTTGATATAGATATCATACAGGAACTGTTGAGTGTTTAATGATGTAATCATACCTTTCATATATGATATGGTATATCACTTCTTTTTTCTATGACATTTATATATGTCAAATGAATGAGAATGAATCAGGAAAAAGAAAGCAGAAGTTACTGTTGAATTATTCAATTTGCTTATTTTATGATAGTTGAATTGATCTCATGTATTATTTTTTTCTCGTTCTTTTTTGATTTAAACTGCCTCATCCAACAATATCTTAGACAATAAAATCGACAATGTCATTGACAAAAAAAAAGAGATTGCTTCAATTGTCATCGTTTATTGCTTTTTTTTTGTTTTATTATAAAATCAAGACTTCTAATATACAATTACGAAACAATTTTATCAACGAAACAGATTAACAAAAAAAGAAAGAACTGTCAAATGATTTTTGTTCTATTAATCTTCTTTTTCAATTCAGATACCTTCTATAATTTCTTTATCGATCAGAAAAAAAAGAGAACGACATGAAACAAGGTAAACATAAAGTAAATTATGTTACTTATTCTCAAGTTGATTACCTGAATAATCCTTTCATCCATGTCAAAAAAAAACTTTCATACATTATTTTTTTGAATGACATCACTGATAAGAGAAAGCAATAAAAGGTAGTAACATATTATCAGGTTGTAGTAGGTCATAGTTATTCGATAAACTGAAAAACCTTACAAAACTGTATAAATTATTTCATAATTCAAAATAAAAATCAACGAATTTAATTTACATCAAGATACACAATCCTAGTGGAATCAATTTTTCAAACAGAGGTATGTTTAGATTTTCGAAATTACCAATATATGAGAAGATCATTTCGGTAATTACTAGAACATAAAAGGAGAAGTTCTAAGATAATTGTACAGTAAATTTTAGAAGTTACCGAGAAATCTTGATATTTTCTAGGAGACTTCAGTGTATACTTGTTAGTTTTAAATATTATTGAAATTTCTAAATATTAATCATAAATATATTTCATTGAACGTATGGGAGATTTCTACTCCTAAGTCACATCTATTTTCAGAAATTATCAAAAACTTTTTTAGTTTTGAAGATAAGCTTCCATTAAAGCTCATTGAGTTTAAAATTATTGAAGCCAGTTTATTGACCATTTTTTGAATCTGGATCCTGTTGATAAAACTTTTTCGAACCCGGTTGAACTGTACTTTGATATCCTCAATGGAATTTGCCAATCAGCATCGAATAGTCGTTTCGAAGATTCGAAATACTTTTTTTTCAGTTTTTTGTATTCGATGACTAGCGCACTCTATAAATTACTCAGATGACTAAAGTTCATCAAGTACAGAATTTTCAGATCCATATCCGGTTAATAAAAAGTTTTCAGACCCGAATCTAATCGGTTCCGGTACCACACCGACAAGCTCTAGATTCTATAGACTTATAACTTCATTTATCCATACCGGTGTAAAAGAAATTTCTGTGAGGAGGAACACGTCAGCAATGAAGTCGAGGGAGGCAATCATAATCATAAAACATGTTTTGAAACTCATTAGAGGTATTATCAACTAATTTTTAAACTTCTCCTACTAGGAAAAATCGAGACAAATCTCTTGGAAGGGAACGACATCGCTTCTAGCGCTCTCCTCCTCTATATACATCAGTGGTTAGTAATTTTGGATATTTCTTCTCTCAGAAAATCTAAACATGGGCGAATTTATGAATAGATCAAAGACTAATTACATTTATTATCAAAACAATATCCCTATTGATACTTTTTCATATATGTTCAATTGTGAATAATTTGTATTCTGATATATCAAATATTGACGGCATCTATAGTTTATTTTTATTTGTTTTCTAATGACTAATCATATCACGCAAGCAAGAAAATTGTAGGGAGAACGAAAATACCCAAACTAACATTTAGGATGCGGTCAGAGCAAATAGAATATAGACAAAACATCGAAACAATGTCAAAAAATACACTTATACCTGCCATCTACAGTTTTGGAATGGACCCGCGATCATTTCAACAATAGTGAGTATAAAAAATTATTCTCTTTCGAATTGCACATAAGATTTTTATTTAAAAAGTGTCCTAGATAGATAGATGGTGCTATTTCTCACTATCATTAAGGTATTTCCTTCAAAATGAGAGAAGATGCAAAAAATTATTCTCGATGAAAAGTTTCAATTGGTTCACATCAGTCATTGTTGCGTTCTTGTCGCCACCGATCAACAGTGATCTCGAAAATGCGACTTGGACCTCAAAAACAAATTATACTAGAACGTCTATCTCTCTTTATTATTTCGAATGATGAGAATAAAAATCTTTGCAAAAGTGTTCCTATATGTGGCGCCTCCCAAGTGCATTTCTTGCTATTGATTTGAATGAATCATCAAATTTTAATCATGTATTATTTCATTTCTCAACGATTCACATTGAATATTTAACAATCTATTGTAATTAGAATACAATTATTATCGATTAAATATTTTTCTTTTATAACAATATGAAATAATTTCTTGATTCAGATATGTAAATATTTATAAAGAAAAAAGAAAAAAGCAAAACAATTGTCATTTATTCAAATGTCATTTTATATTTTTATTTTTAGTTAAATAATTATTATCATCAAATGTCTTTGAAATCATTTATCTATAATGATTGTTGTTTATTAATTAATATTGATTTAAATTCACAACGAATTCGTCAGTTACTCGAACGTCGTTTCAAAAGTAATTCAAATAGAACAAGTTTTGATTTTAAATTATTTCCTCCTGAACAACCATCGAATAATGCTAAAGTATCACGTTCATTCTTACGTTATCAACCGAAAATAATATCTACAAATGATTATGAAGAAAATCTATCTACTGATTCATCTTCATCAGAAGAAGAAGATAATGATGATGTATTTTCAACTAATGATGATGATTATCTTAATAAACTAGCAGAATGGGAACCAGAAAATTTTCGACCTACAATCGATGAGGATGATGATGATAACGATGAAGATGAAAATGCAAATATTATTCAATCAACTAGTGAAGAAAATAATAATGAAGATAATGAGACAAATCAGATGGATTATTCAATAGGTAAGATAATAATGAATAAGACAAATGTATTTGAATAAAAAGAAACACAAAGTTTAGATCTTTATTATATAAAAAAACAGCATATATCTAAAAGTTTTTAGTAGTATTGATAAGAAATATTTTATTACAAAGAAGAAAAAAAAAAAACATGAATCTCTTAATATCCGATTTGAATTGTAATTTTTGTCTGTATGATGACGGAGTGGAGACAATCGAAGATTTATCAACTGAATCTTTTGATGCAATTCGTTACAATGAATTATAGATTCAAATATATAAGAACAACATATTTTGTTTTTTTTTCTCTATGATATCAAGCATTTTATTTCGATAATATCTATGCGTAACAATAATTTTTTTCTTTTACGTATTCAATATGAAAACCAATCGCATAGACTAATGCGCTTTTTCATGTTCTAAAAATACACACAGTACCTGTATTTGTCATTGGCTCCTATATTATATAGTGTACGAATATACAGGTGTCATAACATACCTGTAAGGGTGTCTCAAAAATTCTAAAATAATTTTGAAATGCATCCTTCTCACAATTTAACAAAAGCAACTCTTCGAAATTTTGACAAATGATTGTACTTACGTAGTTCTAGATAACTACAAAATTTGAAATCTATAGTTTTTAATATAGATAAAAACCTCTGACAATACTATCATGTATTATTTTTTCAATTTTCCTGACCATCTCGGTTATTATTTTCAAACCAATACAATTTTTCGAAATAAAAATGAAACACATATCAATTTACTAATATTCATGTATTTGATTACGATCTGAATCCATCATTGATTCTAATCATCATTGAAGTAAAAAAAAATACTAAACTTCTTTCATTTCTTTTTAAACATGTTTTTCTATTTATAACCTTATTTTCTTCTTCGTACCTGATTGTTCGACATTATATTCGTTTAAATTGATTAGATAATCAATTCGTGTTGGTTTGTTTTTTAAACAAAATGTCGAACAATCAGGTACGGCGAAGAAAATAAGATTATAAATTGAAAAACATGTTTAAAAAGAAATGAAAGAAGTTTAGTATTTTTTTTTACTTCAATAATGATTAGAATCAATGATGGATTCAGATCATAATCAAATACACGAATATTAATAAACTGATATGTGTTTTTCTTTATTTCGAAAAGTTGTATTTTATTTTTAAAATAATAATCGAGATGATCATGAAAATTGAAAAAAACAGTACATTCTATTAAAAATTCATAAGCATCACAAACTAGTCTTTCCTTTTGATAATCGTATGATTATTTTTAAGTAAAGATAATTTAACTTTGAAGCTTTGTACAATAGAGATATGTATCAACAGGAAGAGATTTTTTGACGAAAAAAAGAAAGTGGTTTGCTAAAATATTTGAAATACACGTAAGTTGACTCCGCTTGAGATCCTAATTCATAATGTCACATTAGTTTTTCACTCAAATAGTAATCTTCTTATCGAAATCTGCTTTTTTTTTCTCTCGATGTTTTTATACCATTTGAAAGCGTTTGAAAAATACTATCGAATCATATTACAGTAGTCTAGTCGCTGACGAGATGAATCGATAACAGAGTTCTACAGGGTAAGACTTTTTTGTATTCTCACTCTACCCTAAGATTTTCAAGTTTTGACATATGTCAATATGAAGTTTTTGTTTCATTATATTTCAGTACATTTTATTCATTTTTCAATGATAATCAAATAAAAAAATTTTCGTAAGAATGAAATGTCATTAACAATATTGCCACTGAGTAGATAGTTCAATAATCATTTATCCCATCAGTTCAATATTGATTCTTCTTTTTATCAAAACTTAATTTTATTTTAACACATCGACTAACTTCTTCTAAACCGAAAAGATGCCAGGATTATATTCGAAGTTGTTTGCCCTCTTTGTACCCTCCAGGGCTCTAGTAAATAAAAAGTGCTGATTATCATCAACAGTTAAGTTCAATGTATATATGACGATCATTGACTTTTCAATCTATCTATTCATAGCATAAATAAGTGTTATATGACTAATTCTATTACAGCTCATTTTCAAACATCTTGTCTAATAGTTTTTGACATAGAAGAAATCGAATTTCTTGCGAGCACCAATTTTAACAATTATCGACTTTCTTCATTCGACTTATTATTCGATTAATTAAAATCTGTAATATTTGAATTTTTTTGTCTAGTTGAAAATGCTCCTACAACTCATACTGAAGATCTTCTTGTTACATTTATTCATCGTCCTCTTAAAACTGAACCAATAAGTTATGATAATAATATATTTCAATATCCACCACAATTAGATGGTCAAATAGATTTTTCATCAACAAAATCTTCAACGGGATCAAATCGAACTATTAATAATAAAAATTTAGATGATATTATAGCTAAAGTAAAAGCAAAAACTTCTCAACCAAGTCGTGCAATAGAAATACATAGAGTTCCATTATCAACAAATAAATGTCGTTCACATGATGATATAAAAAACAAATTTTTAAATCAAACTATAAAAACAAAATCTTTATCAATTCCTCCAAAAACAAATCGAATAAAAGAACAAACAAAAAAAATTAAACCACGATTATTATCAACAGTATTAAAAAATAATGAAGACGCAATTCGACCACTTGAAACACGAATACCATCAATACAAACAAATAATCAAGTTAGTCTTTATATACATATATATATATATATATATATATGAAAAATTCTCTTTCTTTTTTTTTCAGAAATCTTCTCGAACATCATCGACTAGTAATTTACAATCACCAATATCAAAACAACAAGATCAAAAACAAAATTTATTAAATCGACAACGTAGACCTTCTCGTAAGTTATTTGTTTTTCTTCATTGAATTTAAATTTAATTTTTTTTTAGAACAACAAATAAAATCTTCTTCGAATAATAAACAAAAATATAATCTACAACCTAAACAATCTAAAGAAAAATCTGCATCAGTTCATATGACATTAGCTGAACAAAAATTAAATCATTATCAACAATTAACATCTTCAATTTCAAAAACATCAAATTCTAATACTATTTCATCAACAATAAAATCAAAATCAAAAGAATTTATAAAAAATCAACCAAAATTATCTAAAGTATGTTTTCTTTTTTGTATTTAATTATCAATTCAAATAATCATATAAGACATTTAATATCTTTAGTCAATCAATGATTTATCTGTTCAAAATTCAGAATCAACAACTCCAGTTTTAAATGATCATAATCAACATATAAAGAAAAAACCACAGAAAATAAAACGTTTAAATAAAAAACAAAAAAATTTATTATTAAATAATCAATCACATACACATATTACCAAACAAAAACAAAAAGAACATAATAGTAAAGTTTTTTTTAAGTTTGTATTTTTTTCTCTTATATTCTATTTGTTAGTTATTCAAAAACCAAAACTGGTAAGTCATCAATCGGAACCATTGATTCATACAACAACTTCTAATGATAATATTAATAAACGACCAGAAAATTTCTTTAATGATTGTATTATAATTGATGATGATGAACAAGAAGAATATAACAATGAAAATAACAACAATAATATTAAAGATGATGAGATACAAGAAATTGAACAAAAACAGTGAGTATTTAAAATAAAATATTTTAAAAATACTTCTGACATTTAAAGAAAGGAAAAACTATTATCTATTGAATATGTTTGCTTTCTTAAGAGATCAGTTTCAAATAAATTATCGTTTATAGTTTTAAGAATAAGCAAGTATCTCATACTAATAATGAAGATGTCAATCGTTATACATATATAGCTACTTGACATTCTATTTTCTATGTTAATTTAAAGACATTTTTCATATATATCTTCTAGTTCTGCCTCCGCCATTGGTTTGTTTTTGTGAAAGAATAGCTTTGAAAAATAAGTTTTCAGCAAGCATTGTTTTACTAGGGAATTTCACAAAATGATAGATCACTTTTAAATTTAAACTTTGAACAAATAAAGTTCTCACCAAGACTAGTTCATTGTGACTTTCTAACCTATGGTGTAAAAATCTTAGTACAAAATATTCACTTATTTTTGAAAAAGCTGGTTAAAGCTAGAAATAGTTAATTAGAATTAGACTTTTCTGATCTTTCTGAATATGTGTCCAGAATTTCTTTCTAGAGTAAGATTGGACAACTATTTTCAGAAGGTCCAAAATAGTGTTACAAAGCACACTATTTACAATTTTTGAAATAGCAATTTTTCGATCAATGCCAATTTCCATAGAAGTTAACTCTTTAGTGGAAACACATAGATGAGGTTTTGCTTATTGTAATATCTCATTTTATACAGAATTCAATAATGTTGAGTTGAAGTTGTTCCAAGGCACAAACTAAGAACTGCGCCGAAATCACTACTATGCTTTGTACAGACATAATGTTCGACTTTTCCAAAAAAAAAAATTTACTAATAATTATTCAATCTTATCCGAGAAGGAAAATCTAAACATACATTCGAAAATAGCAAAAAAATTTTGATTCTAACCAGTTGTCTTTTTAGCGACCAAAAATAAACAAATATTTTGTACCAAGACTTTCACACCATAGAACTAGCATTTCCTATGCTGAAATATAGATATGAAAACAAAGTTTGCTTTTTTCCGCATTACAAAAATTTTCAATATTGGTATCTAAGAACAGGAAATACTTAGAAATTGCATAGTTTCACAATGAGTTAATTCTGCCGATTGAAAATTGATATTTGTGTAATGTTTGAACTCAAAAGTCAATGATCTGAGCAGTACTATGATATTTTAATGAAAAAGTCGCACAATGGATCATAATTCAACTAGAAAGATGCATGGGTATGAATCCTTTTACGTATATCCTAATCTCAATAGTGATTAGAGCCCCGCAGGTCATGAATAACGTACTCTGTCCTGTCAGGACAGGACAAGGTAAGGTTAAAAGATTCTTTACAGGGCAGGTCATAGGTATTAAGGTCATAACCTGTTAACCTGCAGTAGAAATGTTTTCCCTAGTAGGTCTTAGAAGAGTCACAAGAAAAATAGGAGAAGTGATATTGAGTTAGATCAAATCATTTAGAGATATTTTCAGTATGAATAGTAATGATATTTTACTGCAATTATCTCCAACCGAGCATTTCATGGGCTATCCTTGAATGTTAACAATATTCATATGTCCGTATTGAAAAGGCTCTTCATATTACTTTAATTTATACTGAAGTTTGTCTTAATGATGTGACAAGAACAACAGCATTTTCGTAGTTATCTGTCTGAATGAAGGTATTTTCCTTTGAAATTTAAGTCATACGTGAGAATCCCATGAAAATTCATGTTATTGTGTGTAATCAAATAGAAATGACGTTCTCTTGCAGAGACAGTTCTTGAGAGGATATCACACTCATAACGAGCTACTACGCAGCCTTTTCTCTCTGTATCATTCTTGTAGGTACTTGAGTAATTTCTTATCGCTCCTTGTTGATGTTGTATCAACATGAAAACAGCTAGAACTATTCTTAAACCCTAATGGTATTTTTGAGTTGAGTGCTTCTATTGATGAGATTCGTCTTTGAATTAGGACAAAAATACACTTATTAGTGACCATCAGCTGATATGATGACTAAAAAATGTTGGCATCAGTTTGTCAAAGCCTAACTTCTTTGAACTGAAAGTTGATGTCGAGTGAAATGTATATTTATTAAAATATGTAAACAAGTAAATTGTGTGATCGATAGCGGTTGTACATAAAATGATCACGAGCAATAAATCTAGAGAGAGTAGGATACATCAAGCAATGGTACACCAAAAACCACGATCACTTAAAGTCTAAATAGACAACTAAAATTATAGATTAATCTATATAATAGAAACTCTACTAAAGTATCCACTGTCTGTAAATGAGAGGTAGCTGATTACCTTATTACTATCGAGATATTGTATTTTTTTAGCAGAATATCATGATCGCTCTCAGGAACATTGAGTTTGAAATTTCGACTTGAAACTTTGCATAAAGAGAAAACTTTTTTATTTTAATTTCATTGTTATTATGAAATAAAAATTTTCTTTGATGATCGTTTTTTTTTTGCTTTCTCTTAAATTTTAATCATATATTTTTTGAAAATTTCATATCAATAAGATAATACCTCCTAATATTTAGCTATTCGATTTCATATGATATTCGTACTCGTGAAAAACTTCTTGATCATGCTGTTCATTCATCATTAATGCATATTAAATGGTTATTTAATCTTGAATATCTTCTTCTTGAACATATACTTATATGTCACGAAAAACATATTCATCCATTAAATAAAATATATGAAAATTCTTCTATAATTAAATATGAACATCCAATAAATTTATCTTATTATAATATTGATCCATCATTTATTTCTATAATAATAATAAATTTTATAAAAATGTTTATTTTACGAAATTCTTTTAATGATCAACAAGAATATTCATTTATACAATGTGGTATAACATCACATATACGATATTTATTAATTGAATTACCAACATATAATCATAATGAAGAAAAAGATATTAATGATAATTGTTTTAAATGTCATCAATATTCATTAATAATAAATATATTATTTGATTTATTATTTGATTTAATTGAATATGATTTATGTGAAATAATATCAAAAATAAAATATCGTTCATCATTAATTGAAGATGATTATTTTACAAGATTTTTACAATCAAATATAACAAAAACAAATTCATATTATCGTATTAAATTAATTATTTATTTTATTGAATTAATTGGTATACATATGAATAAATGTCAAAATAAAAAACAATTTCAATTTAATCAAAATGAAAATAAATTATTTCATTCTATTGAAGATTTTATTCGACATATTGTATCTCAAACAAATGAGTAAAAAATTTATTTTATAAAAAAACAAATATTTTGTCATTTTATTATTTTAGTTCAATTGATGAAAAAATTTCAATTTGTTTTAATGTTATGGAATTATGTCTTCTATTCGTTAATGAAAAAGAAATTCGAATAGAACAGGTTAATTATTCAATAACAGATGATCGGGACGTTTTTTAGACAAGATGTTTGTCCATTTTTTACTTGTAAGGAAGTATTTCCGACGAGTCAAAGGTTATGAGTTTGTACTCTTTTCAAATATGAGCTTAGAAACTTTGTATCAGGTTTTGTTCGAGAGCAGTGAAATAATCTTTGACAAGCTCGGAATTTATTTAGGACGGAAAATTGTTTTATTTTCACTATTGCAATTCGAAACGAAAAAAGTTAGGATCTTTATTTACATATCAGCTTACAGATCAGAAGTTACCCAACAATATGTACTATTTCTTTCGACAAGACATCTCAGTTTTCGTTTTTCCTAAATACTCATTCATAGATGTTTTACATTGAAAGAAGCTCTTGAAAAAAATGCATATATTCTCATCTAGGTAAACGCTACAGTTTATGAAGGAACCTTGTTCAGCTGTCCCTTTCCGATTTTGACGACTTCTTTGTATCTATATAATACTGCATAGTGCTCTAATAAAAATCTTAAAAGAATTTGAGTTCCTATTGATATTTGACTAAGCTATCAAGGTTGTAATATGTCTATTTTCTTAAGATCCCGGATTTTCTGCAAACTTGTCCTTTCGATTTTTGATCTTAAACTTCGTCTATATCGGGAACTCAAGTAGACTAGCTTCTATAAAAAATTCACAAGTTTGAAACAAAGTCTTTTCGAGAATATGAAGCTTTCAAAAAATACATGTTGTATAAAGATCAAAATTTGTAAGTACACTTTTTCCAAAAACTGGAGTAGTCTCTAGAAAATAGACATATTACAAAAACGATAGCTTAGTCAAATCTCAATAAGAATTGAAATCCTTTTAGAGTTTTTATTAAAACACTCTGTAGTATCTATAGGCAAAAATCATTGACATCGGAATGGAGCAGTTGCAAAGATTCCCTCGTTACTTCATATCACATTCTGTAGAAAAATGTCCGTTCTATAGTCTTTAGCATGTTCGAAAAAAGATTTACTGGATAAACAAAAACCTGTTGATTCATCATTAAAAATAATTTTTCGGGTCTTTCGAAGAGTTCTTCGTTACTCTCGAACAAAAACTAAGACAAAATTTCTAAGTCTATATTCGAAAAGAACACAAACTCATAGCTTTTAACTCGTCGGAAGTACTTTATAGTGAATCAACAGTCAACAAACATCTTATCTAAAAATTTTCTGATCACCTGTTATTTTTTTAATAAAAAAAAAAACAAAAGAATCTTTATTAATTTACTTTAGATGGCTTTATTTTTATCAGAACTATGTCAAGATAATTCAAAATGTTTAAATTTATTTCTATTTGATAATAATTTACTTCCTGATATACGTTTATTATTAATAAATGAATTAATTTCGAAAAGCTTTAATTTGAAGTTTATGTCAATTAATTATGTCAATGAATTTTTTCGACAAATTCAAGTAAAATAATTGTTTTATATTTATTCTTTGAAAATATTTATTGTTTTGGTTTTTTCTTTTAGAATATTTTAAATTCGTCAGAAGTAAGTAGAAGAAAGAGTCAAGTAAAGTTCTCTCCACAATAGAAGACTTCCGAATCTGCTAATATGTTCCAGTATGAGTGGGAGACTGTGAGTCTTTTATTGTGTTCTATTTATTTTCAGAATTTTAATTCAAAAAAAAAGCCCAGAAATAATCCCAATTTCAGTCTTTTTAGATTTTTAAGCTCAAAATCTTGAAAACTAGTTGTATATTCATGGAATGTCAATAGCTGTATTTGAACACATATTGTTTGGCGTTTACGATAACATAGTTCGATTTTCGTCAATAGACAGTGTGAATATTTATCTATCTTAACAGTAAACTTCTCGACGAGAACAGACGATCCTGCTTAAATAAATAAAGCATAAGACAGTTTAGAAGATCCGCTTCATCAATTCAGTTGTTTTTTTTAATGACTTCTGCAACTTATTGATGTATATATTAATATCTAAGTTTAGTACGAATGATAGTATTTTGGCTTCTAATATCTTAGCCGTGTGTTATCTTCGAGTTGAATAATTTGTAAGGAAAAGTTAATAAAAATTACGTTGCTTTATTGAAAATGTATCACAGCGATAATTTAATGATCCTTTGTAGTATTTTTCCTTACGAAAAATTCTTTCCCACGGTCATTAGACGCAATTAATACGATGTGCATTCAAATCTATCATACATAAAGAAATCTTTTTCAACAGGGAACATATTCAGTAAAATCTCATTGTCGATTATCTGAAAATAGCGCTCTATCTGTGCACTTTATTCTTCAAATTCTGACATGCTCTTCATACAGAAATGCACATTCCTAACTGGAAAAAATGCCATATTTCTCAGATTAGATGTTGCACTCTGTTCTATGAGATAAGCCTTTTACACCTGAGAATACATTTCTTTTTTGCAAAAAAATACAAAAATTTTTTTTCGAAACAAATGTAAAAACAAAGATCTTAATGTACATTCAATCATTCTCTTTTTCTATGAATTTGCCAAAGAAAACAAAAAGTCTTGCTTTATAGGGATCTTATGCTAGGTTAGTTTCACAAGAAGGATTCTCAAAATTTAAGATAGCGGTGTCTCAATTGTAAAAATATAATGTGACAGACATCCGTTGGTAACATGCGAGAATTTTTGTAATGTAAGTCAAAAAAAAAGTTTCCATTTGTTTAGATATATTTTCATTACTTTTAAATATTATCGAGCTAATCTTCTCGAAATTTTTTCATTGTTTAAAGCCTATAAGTAAACTCAAATATATATGAATGTGATTTTTGTTTAATGAAAGAATGAATTTTTTTGCTCGACAAACTCTTTACCAATATTTCTTGTAATCTAATTCTATTCAGTTACATTGTTTCAATTTGCAAATTTTTTATTACACTCTTCCTGGTAAATTAGGCATACGCAATGCATCAAATAGCTATTCAATGTATAACGCAAATATGAGTAAGATGATCCCGGGATCAAAAGCTACTGATTCTGCTCATGTCTAATGTAATTGGACTGTAAAGGATGAGAGTTCGATACAGATACTGATATGAATTACGCAGAATTGTTAGTTTTGATGTATCGATGCATTCGTTTTGTCTAATCTTATCTTTTGTTAGTTTATATAATAACAACAAAGTACGTCTTATGTATCTTCCTGAGGTTTCTTTTTTCTTATTTGATCATACACTAAATTAAAATTTACTTTTTAATAGAAATATAATTACTGTGAAGTTTAGTAATTGATTGATGGAGTTTTTTTTTTTTTTTATTATAGCCAATTAATGATTTTGCATTATTACTTCTGAGAAGTTTATTTACAACTTATGCTGATTTGATTACTGGTATGTAAATATTCATATAAAATTTGATGGCAAAAAAAAAATAATGTTTTTTATTTTATAGAAATCAAAGTATTTCCTTTTATGTATACAAGTTTTGTTCAACAATTAACAAATACATTACGAAATCAACTTGAATTAGTATTCGTTAAATTAATAGAAGTTTCTTCTAATAATTCGATTTATTTCGAACAAATGAAACGAACATTAATATTCTATCGTCTTCTAACATGTCGATGGAATAAATTGTGAATTAGTGTTAGTTATTTCCTGTTTTTTTTGTACAGTCTGTGTTTTCTTTTTCTTCTTTTCTCATTTATATTCTTCAACGTAGTCAGATGTATATTTATTACTATAATTTTTTTTGTCCGGTGTTTCCTTGTTGTTGTTGTGAATTCTTTGTGGTTTATTCATTGTAAAAAAAAAAACAAGTAGATTTTTCTCTCTTCAAAAAAACAAAAAACAAATCAAAACGATGAAAATGTTTATGTGTAAATATTTGAGTAACATATCTCATCTGAATCAATCGGAGAGAATTAAGGCAATATATGTATCAAAAAAGAAAAAAAAAATCACAAATTTTTCCTATTTCTATTCATTAGATTTATATAAAAGAAAATATGGAAAAAGATAATAATAATAATAATAATAACGATGAACGATTTGAATCATCTGCTTCAACATTGATCAATGACGAACAATTAGAAGGTAAAAAAAAAAGAAATATTTTAAACAAAAAAATGTCTTTTAATGAATGAGTGAACTAGAATAAATTTTATTGATATTAGATTGAATGAGAGAAATTTTGGTTGGTACAAAAAAAGTAAATACCTTGTTAAACTAACTTGTCGGAAAAAGAAAATAGTCATAAGAAACATTCATTTTTTATCTGTTAGTATTAGAAAGCAAATCTGTAAACTAAAATGGATTGAATAAAAGCCAAGATACAGTGGTGTCATATGGTTTTTTTTTTCGTAGCGTTGATGATCTCTAATATGATTCGATTAAATAACAATACTTTCAATATAATCGGAGGAAATAATCTATCAAAATCGATAGTTTACTTATGAGGGTTGTTCCTCGGTTCATTAATAATCTTATTGGTACGGAGATACTGCATCTTCAACTCAATGTCATGATCTCTCTCAGGAAGTTTCGAGTTTCGACTAAAAAATTGTAAAGAGGCAGGTCTTAATAAGAATTGTTCATTTTGAAAGTTTTAGATCTTTTCGTTATTCCTATCCTAAAACACAGCTATAATAAGTGTCTTCCACGTCACTCACATACACCGGCAGATTGAATATTCTCATAACTGTTCTCGTTAAGATCTATCTCTATGCAAAAATTCAAGTCAAAATTCGATAATCACTTTTGCTGTTGTTTCTGGAGGAGATCATCGCATTGACTTAAAAATGCAATATCTTCACAGCAATACGTTTAAGTCCCTCAAAACTCTTTTCACAGTATTCATAGCTCATTAAAATTGATAAATCTGTTAGAGAACTTCGTTCGAATAATCACATTTCGACTGACATTCTATTACTTCATCCGATTGAGAATTCATTTAATGTATATAGTTTTCATTCATAAATTGATTTTGTTTTTCTTAGATACTATCACTAATGATGTTTCTCAAATAATGAATGATCTCTTAACACAAATCGAAAGTGAAATATCTCCTAGTGATTCATCAACATTTACAAGTTTTGTTGTTGAAGATATTGTAAAAAAAATTCGTTTAACAGCATTAGCACAACAACAATCATCAAGTACAGATGATATATCATCACCTTCACTTTCAAGTTCGATTGTTGATGTTCCATCAATGCAATCAAGTCGTTCAATATCTCCATCACAAACAATAAATGATTCAAATCAAATATTATTACCAATTGATAAACGTATTCTTGATGATATTGAATTATATTCACGTGAATTAGCACAAGAATTTGTTACAACTGTTGAACAATTAACATTATCTTTACATAATATGTCAGCAACAAGTGTTTGTTGTTTACAAACATATCGTGATGCTGTTGGAGAAAAATTAAATGAAACTATTGAAATTAATATTAAAACAATTTATTCATTTATGGCACAAGCTGAACAATTAAGTGCACAATTAGCACCGATTTATGAATTACAAAAAAAGATCACATATATAAAACAATTACTTGATATTTTATCACAATCTATTTAACTTTCTTTTATTCTACAATTTATTTTCTTTTTATTTAAATTTAAATATATATATATATATACCCAAATGTATATTTGTTTTTTTGTTCTTGAAGATCAATTTATTTTAATATGAATAGTAAATCAAAATTTAAAACATTAATTATTATTGATCTTGAAACAACTGGTTTAATATATGATGAGCCTAAAATTACTGAATTAGCAATGATTGCTGTAAATATGTAAGTGTCAATATAGAGTGAACTAAAAATACCTTGACTAATAAGAACACTGAATATTTCTCGCCTGCTTTTATTACCCGAGCTGAGTTTTTTTTCTTCAGTAATAAAAGACTGTTTTAAAGTTTTTATTTACTAGAAAACTATCGATGGCTACTGTTTTGAATTAACACTATTGACTTCGATAAAGAAATATAGTACTGACTGGGAGTATTTTCTTTGACTTCAGCAGTTCTTAAGAATGCATATTTGAAATTTTTTGGCTTGTGTAATATCTTACAAATATAAGTCAATGAGATTAGTCCTGTTTCGATCATTTGACTTAAAGAAAAGTTATGATAGTGTTCTTCTCACGATGAATTCTATAACTCAAGAACAGAAGAAGTTGATGATCTGGTGAATCTTATCTGAAACTTAAAAGAAATTTCTTTTATCATCGAGAAAAAAACTCCGTTCGATTGATTAAAACAGACCTATTGAATTTTTTATTATTATCTAGTGCCACATTGGAAGAAATGAAAGCTGATGAAGAATTACCTCGAATATTAGTAAGAGAGAAAATTAAAAATATATTTAATTTTATATGAATTGGTTTTTTTTTGTTATTAGAATAAATTTGTTAAATTTTTTGATCCAATAAAATTATTACGTAGTTCAGTAGCTGAATTGACTGGTAAGAGTAAAGATTCATCGTTTGACATTGATCGTTTTTTTTTTTTGTTCTAGGTTTAAATAATCGTATGTTGATAGATTATGCACCATTTAATCGTGAAACAGTTATTGCAATGGAAGCTTTTCTAAGTGATTTTCAAAAGCCAATGTGTTTTGTTGGTATGTTTATATTTAATCAAGATTTTGATTTTATCTTGAGTTAAAAATTTTTTTCTGAATATTCGAAATTCAATTATTTTTAGAATTTCTATTAATATCAAACTTGTTGGTATAGTAGTCTATAAGTAAATAGTAGATTCAATTACAATTTAGATTGTGAAAGATGAAAATTGAATAATAGAACTAAAATAAAAATTTCTTACTTAATGTCATCAAATATATTCTTAAGTATTCAGTCTTTTTTCCGTTTATTATGTGTCAACATCTTTTTAAAAAAAAACTAATTATTTTTTAATAAGTAGAAGCAATTTCTTTTTAGTGCGTAGATTCTATTATTTTGTACTACTTAAATTTAATTTTACTATTAAAAATATACATGTCAGAATTATGTTTACAAAAAAACAAAACAAAAAAATGAAATTATTTTCTTGTTTTTAGCACATAATGGTAATTTGTTTGATTTTCCCATTTTATTCAGTGAAATTAAATCTGCACTATCCAGTCCTTCATTTTATGCTAATACTACAACTACTAATCATAATAACAATAATAATAATAATAATAATAATAATAATGAATGTATTTCTGAAACGAATACAACTATTGCAAATGATAATATATCTTTAGCTTCTCTTACAACAAAAGATTCATCTATACAAACAATAACAACAACTGATGATTATAATCAAACTTCATTATTATCTATTGAATGTGCTGATTCGCTTGTTTTCTTTCGAGAAATACATCGATTACTTAATGATAAAGATCTAGTTCAATATACCATTGAAAATATTTCATCAGAATCTTCTGTCATATCTAATCAAAATGAATCTCAAAAAAATTTATCCATTAATTCAAATGAATTAATAACATCTCCCAATCATAATTCATCATCTCATCGTGGATATGTTGAAATACCTATTAAATATATTCCTTCACAAGATCCAATACGACAACAATTATCAATGAAACTTAGTAAAATTTATGAACGAGAATTTAATCATAAAACATCTCAATATAAATATCATCGTGCTGAAGATGATTGTTTAATGCTTTTAGCTATTTTAAAACGTTATCTACCAGATTGGCTTGAATGGATAGAATTAAATAATCAACCATTAAGTCATTTTTCTTCTTTACCATTTACATCAAAAAAACAAACTTTATCAAAACCTATTGAAAATAAAAAACGGCCATTGAAATTTTAATTCAGACATTGTTATTTATGAAAATCCCTTGTGTTATAATTATTTTGTTTTTCTTTCAGTTTTTACTTTTTCTTTTCTTTTTTTAACAGTTTCTCTTCTAGCTATTCGATTAAAATAATAGAAAGTAACTACAATAATGGAATATTTAAATTATTCAATGTAAAAATAAAAAAAAAGTATGGTGTTGTTTGCAGGAAAGCAATAATACATTATTGACATCGAGAAGCAAACTATCGACTAACAACTTCCGTTCTTTTTTCTTCAAAGATTTTTTTTTTCTATTTCTTTGTGTACATTATTACATTACTCACAATCATAACAAGGTTTATTCTTTCTCGGTGTTGCATACACCGGTCGCATTTTATATAAATCTTTGTTTGCTGTATGGAGATACGACGCTTTAAAAACATGAATTTTTTACTTTTCTTTTCTTCCTTTTTCTTTGCTACTTAATGGTTATTATTTTTCTTTTCGTCTAACCACTCTTCTTCTTAGTGTAACGATTATTACCCATATATCTTTCAATTTCAGTTATTTACTACTAAAATTCTAAAACAACGCTATACATATCACTAGAACATTTTTTTGTAAAATAATAATAATAATGAATATATTAATGGAAAATAATATCTTATTAAAAACTGATTCATATAAAGTATCACATTATAAACAATATCCAAAAGAAACAATATGTGTTTATGCTTATTTGGAAAGTCGTGGTGGTGATTATCCAGAACAAGTGTTTTTTGGTTTACAATATATATTAAAAAAACATTTAGTAGGAAAAGTTATCACTAAAGAATATCTTGAACAAGCAATTCAATTTTGGAATCAACATTTTGGTTATGATCTTGTTGATCGTGAAATGTGGCAATATATTATTGAAAAATATGATGGACATTTACCAATACGTATTAAAGCTATACCAGAAGGTACAGTTGTACCAACTGGAAATGTTTTAATGACTGTTGAAAATACAGATCCAAAATGTGCATCATTAACAACATATTTAGAAACAATTTTATTACAAGTTTGGTATCCAATAACAATTGCTACAAATTCAAGAGAAATTAAAAAAATTTTAGTAAATATAATTCATTAAAAAAAAAAGAAAAGACAAAAAAAAAGATGTTTTTTATTTTATTTAGTTACGATCATTAAAACGAACAGGTGATCCAAGAGTAATTAAAACACAATTACATGATTTTGGATTTCGTGGTGTATCATCTTATGAAACGTCAGCAAGTCGTATTCTAATTATATAAAAATATTTATTTTATTTACTATATTGGTTTTATATTTTGAAATATTTAGTTGGTGCATGTGCACATTTAACTTCATTCTATGGTACAGATACGATATCGGGTTGTGTTTTAGCTCATAAATATTATTCAGCTAAAGAAATGGCTGCTAATTCAATTCCAGCCTCAGAACATTCCACAATGGTTAGTTGGACACGTGAAAAAGAAGCTGAAGCCTATTGCAATATGTTAGGTTTGTTTAAATAACAAAAAAGAAAATATATTTCGAATATACAATTTCTCTCTTTTTTTTTGTTTTTGAAAATAGATATGTATCCAAAAGGTATCATTGCATGTGTATCTGATTCATATGATATTTATAATGCATGTGAACATATTTGGGGTGAACAATTGCATGATAAAATTCTAGCACGTGATGGAACATTAGTTGTACGATCTGATTCTGGTATGCATTCTCAAAAGGAGAGAGAAAAAAGAAAAGAAAAGAAAAGTTTTTCCATCAAACTTTTTTAAGAATTGATTCGATTGAAATTTATATTCTTTGCAATTTTAATTAAGTTTATTTAGCACGTAGGAAAATAATATTTTATTTTTAAGTAAATAGGTTTTTTTCTAGGAAATGTGCAATGTTGATGTGAATATTGAACAGTGAGTCAACGATACAGGATTCACTAAAGCACTGACTATATTGACAGTTGCATTCGCTGCAATATTGTTACACCAACTTTATCAAAATATACCCTTTCTCTAGTAATGTGTTCCCATACTTCAGTGAACACTGATAACAGTGTGTCGGTCTGCGCACTAGCTAAACAGATGAAGGAACCTCTTCAGTAGATTTCAATAATTTTTTTGCCTATAGATACTATTACATAGTGTTCTAATAAAAACTCTAAAAGGATTTCGATTTCTATTGATATTTGACTAAGCTATCGAGTTTTTCATATGCCTGTTTTCTAGAAGCTCTAATTCTTGGAAAACTCATATTTTCGAATTTCGACAAGAGTTTCCAAATATAGATTAATTTTCATAGATAGTCTATATAACATGCATTTTTTTTTCAAAACTTCATATCTCGAGGAGATTTTGTCGAATACTTGTGAAGTTATTTCAAAGAAGTTAGTCTACTTGAGTTCTCTATATACATCAAGTTTCAGATCAAACTTCGAAAAGATGAGTTTTCCAAGAGTTTAGAGTTTCTAGAAAATAAATATATACGTATAAAATTCGATATTTGTGTCAAATATCAATAGGAACTAAAATCCTTTTAGAATTTCAATTAGAACAGTATGTAGTATCTGTAGGCCAAAAAAATTATTGAAATTTGGAAAGGGTCAGCTAAAGAGGTTTGCCTCAAGATTCGATGATCAGTAAACTGAAACTGCACATCCCTAGCTTTTTCTGTTGTGTTATTGATATATTGATTCCTATTAAAATTGAATAGTAAATTTCTTGGTTATTATAACCTGAAATTTAATGTTTATTGATGAAATAAAATTCTATTTTCACTTGTGGCATTGTTTTATATTAATTTTATTTATCTATAGGTGATCCATTAGAAGTTCTTGAACGTTTAATGAATATATTATATGCTAAATTTGGTGGATATGTTAACGAAAAAGGTTTTAAAGTTCTCGATAAACATGTTCGATTAATTCAAGGTGATGGTGTTAATATGAATTCAATTAAAAATATTGTTAATTCATTTGAACTAAATGGTTTTTCAACAGATAATATTGTATTTGGTAGTGGTGGTAAGTTTATATATATATATTTTTATTTTTCACTGTTTTTTGAATGAAATTTTTCAATTATTTTTAGGTGCTCTTTTACAAAAATTTGATCGTGATACAATGAGATTTGCAATGAAATGTTCTTATGTTGAAATAACTGGCATGGGTGGTTTACCAGTTGCTAAAGATCCAATAACTGATAGAGCCAAACGTAATAAACCTGGTCGACTTAAATTAGTTAAAGAAACAAATGATAGTTATCGAACATTAAGCAGTTTAGAACATAACAATGAATATGACTTAGCCGAAGATCAACTTGTAACTGTTTTTGAAAATGGAAAGCTTCTATGTGAATATTCATTTGATACAATACGTGCCAATTGTGATATTGATATTAATCGTCTCGAATTTATGCATATTATGTAGGATAATTTCATTTAAAAATTGAACATTTTATAATTCTCGATGTATGAGGTCATTGGCCTCTGCTTTCTTTCTTTCTTTCTTTTTTACTCTAAACATTCATATTCACATGTATTTCTTTTTTTTCTATGTTGTCAGTATATAATTAAATAATAACAAGAATGAAATTTCAATAAAAAAGAAAAACTTATATTAATATACTTAACTAATTTCTTTTAGAAGTTTACTTCGTTTTGAAATTATGAACGATAATAATAACAATCAAAATAAAATAGCTATTCAACGTTTTGTTGAATATATACAAATAAAAACAGTACAACCTGAACCAGATTATGATTGTGCTTTCAAATTTTTAAAGAATTATGCTCAAGAACTTGGTTTACAATATCGTTTAATTAAAATTGATCAAGATCGCCAAGCAGCCGTGTTAACTGTATATTAATTTTAGTTTTTCAATATTAAAAAAAAACATATAATATGTTTGTGTTCTAGTGGTTATCATCATCAACAGATAAATCAATTTTACTCAATTCACATATTGATGTTGTACCAGTTTTTGAAGAACATTGGATAGTTCCACCATTTTCAGGTGAAATTCGTGATGGAAAAATATATGGACGCGGTACACAAGATATGAAATGGTAAATAAATTTAAAAAAATACTAATAGAACATATAATAGAATTTGAAATATAAAAAACTAAACAGAAATGATTTATTAATTGAATAATCATTTGTTTTAGATTTTCAAAAGAACTGCTATTAAATTATATTTCTTCTAATTTATCAATTAATGTCTTCAATGGAAAGATGACGTTTTTTTTTAATAGTATGATAGAGTGAATGTCTAGAAAGGAAACAAACGACAGATATTTTAACTCTTTTTTTTTTATTGAACATAAGAAATATTTTGAGAGTTTGAAGGGTGTGTCAATTTTCTCATTATAGAATTTAACATTGATTAATGTCTTTAGATAAATCCTCATAATAGACATATATATATATATATGTCATAGTCTGTAAAAAAGAGAACATAAAAGAGAATCTAAATCTCTTTCTCTACACTTCAAAATATCTTTTAGATTATAGTTCAGAGGATTAATAATATTCAGATTGTATTATATTCTTATTGAAATATAATGTGTATTCTAGTAGGTAGAAAACTACAGTTAGTTTGAAATGATTCTGCTGTTTTAATTCTCTATAAAATTAAACAAGAATATTAGATCTAATCTTTAAAGTTGCCGAGAAAGAATCGAAGAGCACTGCACTCCTTCAATATGTATTGATTTTTAGAGAATGTCTCCTCAACCATTTTTCAGTACTTTTCTATTTTGTTTTAGACAAGCAAGACATAGTATAGAAACTATATTGTGACAATAGGCATAACTTTTTGTCATGATGTGCAATGATGAACATTTCGAAAGAATATAATGACACAGAAATCAGCTTCTTCACATTGAGTAGCAAATCCTAAATTTAGTGAAACTATTTATTTCCACTAAGTACAAACTTCAACTTTTATCATGAGTGTTTCATCTTTTTTTTCAGAGATTTCCTTGCAAATTGATTGAGACTTGACGATGGAATATTCTAGTTTGATTGTCCTTCATAAAGTTTCTCCAATCTGTATGAAAATTGATATACAAATCGATGGTTATCGCAAACTTTCATAAACATAGCTGATCCTTTTAAATATCAGTATATAATAGGATAATTGTTCCTTTGATACTGTCAGGCATAGGCATCGATCGAACGCCAGATGACAGATGATTATTTCCTGAAAAACATAAACATCTGAATACCAGTTGTTGTATTATTAGAAATGAGTACATAATAAACAAGTCGAATGCTGTCCAATTTTCGTAACTACTTTTAATGTTAGATCTAATGCTTCCGCATGATGTTCTGGAGAATTGAACAGCGACTTGTTTGAAGGTTCAGGGCAATTTTCTATTTATAAACGTCACTAAAATGAATACAAAAATTGGATAGTACCATTATTTATGGTGTACCCACCTGTTATTATCTTGTAAAAATATAAGACCATATCAAGATGCCTTGAAATTCTTTTTCATGCATTTTTGAAATAAATTCTCTGAAGGTTAATACCTTCCTCGATGAACACCAATTATAGTTTCGATAATTGATTTGGAACTTCCAATAGCTTTAATTCTCAGTTTATTCTTTTAAAAAAATTTAATTTTATTAATGATTTAATACTTTTAAATTTAATATATACTATTTTGTTTAAATAAATTTTTATGTTCTTTAGTGTTGGAATTCAATATTTGGAAGCTATTCGACGTCTTAAAACAGCTAAATATGAACCAAAGCGAACTATTCATTGTTTATTTGTTCCTGATGAAGAAATTGGTGGTATTAGAGGAATGAAAGTATTAAGAACACTTGATGAATTTAAAGATTTAAATGTTGGTTTTGTTCTTGATGAAGGTAAACTAAAAAAAAATCAAAAATTTTAAACTTATAATTATTTTGTTTTTTGTTTAGGTCTAGCTAGTGAAACAGATGTCTTTCAAGTTTTTTATGGTGATCGTTGTGCTCTTTGGATTGAAATAACAGTTAAAGGTAATACTGGTCATGGATCACGTCTTATTGAAAATACAGCTGCAGAAAAAGCTCAATTTATTATTAATGAAATGTTAAAATATCGTACTAATTCAAAAGAATGTTTAGAAAAAAGTCAAACAACAGATAAACCACTTCAATTAGGTAATATAACAACAGTTAATTTAACAAAAATGAGTGGTGGTGTTCAAATAAATGTTGTACCTGATCAATATACATTAGGTTTTGATTGTCGTATTGAACCAAATAGTTATGATTCATTTAAGAAATTTTTGGATGATCTTATTCAACGAGTACCAAAAGAAAATAATAATGAAATAACAATTAATTATCTACAAGATTCAGGTCCACTTGTGCTCACTGATATTGAGAAACCATCATGGTGGCTTAATAGTTTTAAACGAACATGTGAAGAAATGAAATGTAAATTAAATTGGACTATATTTCCTGCTGGAACTGATGCTAGATATTTACGTAATGTTGGTTATCCAGCAATTGGTTTTTCACCTATGATAAATACTCCTGTTCTTTTACATGATCATAATGAATATTTACATAAAGATGTTTTTCTTCATGGTATTGAAATTTATGTTAAATTAATTGAAAATCTTACAAGTGAAACAATATGAAACTAAAGAAAACTTAAAGCAATATAATTTGAATGATAGACAGAGAGTATAATATGATTTGTTATTAATTCTTTTTTTTTTACCTTTAATTAACTTTTCACTTTCAATCATAAGCGCAAAATATCTACTTTATATTACCCAACAATAAAAGTAATTTCACAATTTGCATGCTAAAATTTTTCTTGCTGTTTATTTATTCTCTATCCACATGGATTAGAAATGCAACGATGACGGAGATCACCAGTGCAATCGTACACCATTACACCCTTCATTCCTAATAGTGATGTATAACTCAATTAGACTACCTTCTTTTAGAATAAATTCATCGGTTTTGAAGAAAGTCTCTTCGAGATATGAAGCTTTGAAAAAATGTATGTTATATAGACTATCTATGTAAAAGAGTCTATACCTTGAAAGTTTCATATTTTGAAGAAATTTTGTTCAAAACTTTCGAATTTTTGTTTTATAGAAGCTAGTTTAGTTGAGTTCTCTATATGCACAATATTTCAGATCGAAATTCGATAGCTAATTCAAATATCAATAGAAACCGAAATTCTTTTAGAATTTTTATTAGAATACTATATAGTATCTATAGGCAAAACAAAAATCATAGAAATCACAAGGAAACAACAGAAGAAGTTCCCTTGTAAATCTTTTTCCAATCATGAAAATCGAACTCCAGACTTTCGACAAACTTCCTATAGATTTGGATTTCTGTCTTTTGTTTGATAAAATTTAGTGATTTTTCTTGAAATGGTCTCTTGAGCGAAAGACTCGAAATCAATCCAAGATCATCATAGTTTTATCATAGATTCACTGTTAGTCTATACACACATGTTTAGATCAGTGTAAAGGTCTACGTAAGACAGATACACTGCTGTCACTGGCGGCATGATGTGGTGGTGTATGGTGCACCGTTACTGTTGCATCCTCAGTATGGATTATGTATCAACTTTGCAATTTCATACTACAGTTAGATTTTGTTTAGACAAAAATTTTTGTTATGAAAATATTATTTGTCGAAAATTTCTAAATCTCAATTTTAGATCTTATCTATTTTTATTTCTTATAATAATCATTCAAAATGGTCGTAGCTATGTAAGTAAGAAAGATAATTTCATATAATTGTGTTGTTCAGATAAGAATTTTGAACAATCAAGTCCTTTTGTTTCTTTTGATAATATGAATTTAATTTTTTTTGTTTTATTTATTTATTCATTCCTCTAGAGTTATTTCATTACCAAGTGGTTCATTCAAATCACCAGCTGAAGCAGCTGAATTTTATTTAGATAAATTAGAAAAAGGTGGTGCAAAAAAGACTCGTCCATTTCAAGTTGATCTAGTCAGCTATACTCCATGTTCGTTATAGAATATTAAATTTTATCTGCGTTTTTTTGTTCTATCTATTTGAATCTATTGTTTTTTTTTAAGTAATACCAAATTCTAAAGTCGTTCATGTATTATCACATTCTGAATATCCTGCATCATCATTTGCTTATGCTGAACAATCAAATTGTCAAATGCTTGTTGCCGATAATACATTTATTGCTTTAATGAATAAATTAAAAACATTACGTGCATTTGAAATACGTTTACAAAAAATGGAAGCAAGAGGTACACGTTTAGAATATCAAGATTTTCTTATTAATCTTGGAACTGTTAATCAATCACAAACAACAAAAGGATTAATTCTTGAAGTAAATAGAACTAAAAAGAAAAACACTAAATAATCTTCTTTTATATGAATAATATTTTTTCAAATATCTTTTATTATATTGATCTATATATTTAGGTTGCTTATGTTCCAATGGATGAAACTCGTGATGGTTATTGTTTAATTCAAGAATTTTTACAATCATTTCTTAATATGACAAAACAAACAATACAAAGATTAATAACAGATCAATTAAGTAATTGGTTACGATCATTGAAGGATAAAAAAGATTCAGAATATACACCATCTATAACTTTATTACAATATCTCGATATACTTCTTGCTATGAGAAATAAACCCAATGAATAAATATGTATATGTATTATTATTATTATTATTATTGCTATTGATTTTCTTTTTCTTTTGATTATTTGTATATGTATGTGAGAAATAGAAAACAAATAAGTAAATAGACAAAAAAAAACAACTTAAAATCATTGTTCACATAAAATATTTGGTGGTTTGTTTTTTTTTTGTTGGTAAGAAATTTTGCTTACCGGGAAAATCGGCTTGAATGAAAAAGATACATAGAAAAGATAGACTTGATTAATGAAGAGTAATAGACTAATTTCGCACCCATACAAAAGGTTAAATTACAAAAAGAAGAAAAATACGATACAAGGCACCATTCGAGAAAACTAAATGGAAAGGAGGGTTCACAATTGACAATTCACACAAAACAATCAAAATGACTAACAGACACAAAACACAAAAAAAGTAAAGATTTTGATTTGTGGTATTACATAAGACAAAAGAAACTAAAAAAACAAACAGAAAAAATGCATTAAAAACATAAATTGATATTAAATAAAATACCCATGACTATCATATGATAATCAACAAAGCAAAATAAAAGATAAGCTCATGCAAAATAAACAGAAAATAAAAATCTTCCAGAACAAACAACAACAACAACAAGCAGAAGAGAATATAGGTTTTTTTTGTGGAGATCAATTGCCAAAAGAAAAAAATCAAACAAATTCTTTTGCTTTCATACGATGTTAATAATAAGTGGAATGAAAAGAAGTACAAATAAACAACAACAAAAAGAAAAAAATAGACAACTAGAGAGTGATAAAATATCATCACCATCATCATCGCATATCTGAATGAAAAACTTTTGACATTGATATTATTATTTCTTTATTGTATTCACAACTCTCTTAATCGTCGAGATTTATGTCTCGTTGAGTAACGTAATGATATTTCTGTACCAACTTCATCAATTGATATTAAAGCCTATTATATGTATAGATTATTTTTTTTTAAATTCGAAATAAATTCATTAACAAAAAAAACATTCTTGTTACTTACATTATCAAGCATTTGACGTGTATGTGCAGCTGATATACAAAAACGAACGCGTGCATCTAATAATTTTGTTGCTGGAAATCCAACAGTAACAACTGCAATACCACGTCGAAGCATTTCTCGATTAAATCGTGTTACTCTTGCAGGCATATAAATTAACATTGGAACAACTGGTGAATTTTTATTGCCATAAACAATAAAACCCATATCGACTAATTTTTGTCGAAAATAACGTGTATTATCAGCAAGTTGATAAATACGTTTTTTTCCTTAAAAAACAAAAAAATAAAAAGTAAATTTAATCTTTAGTAGTTTCTCGTTTTCTTCTAAGAATATGTTTTTCTTTTTCTTACCTTCTGGACCCTGAAGAAGACGAAGAGAAGATATTATTTGTTGTACTACTGGTGCTGGCATACTTGAAGCATACGTATTTGCATGAGAATTCATACGAATATAATCGATGAGAGACTACAAAGAAAGAAAATATAATAATATATATGTTTGAAATATGTGTAGACATAGTTCATAGGATTTTATGCATGAATCGCTTTGAAAAAAATAAACCGAGGCTTTAATTTTTTTTCATGCACGATTGAATTTTTTCTTTCAAAAAAAATCAAGTTAATAATTTTTGAAATTTATGCTTTAATGCATAAAATGACTTATTAATTATACTAAGTTTATGTAGGATGAATAAAGAATTAATGAATTTTACTGTTTTACGTTAAACACTATAATCTAACTACTAAAGGCTCTTTTTTTTACCTTTTTTCCTGCAATATAACCACCAGCTGAAGCAAAACTTTTTGTAAATGTTCCCATTAAAATATCTACATCATTTGTATCAGCACCAAAATAATCTACAATTCCACGACCATGTTTACCCATTGCACCGATTGAATGTGCTTCATCCATATATAAATAAGCTTTATATTTCTTTTTTAATTCAATTAATTCCGGTAAACGACATATTGAACCTTCCATACTAGAAATAAAATAATAAATAGTTGTATTTTACATGCAAAAAAAAACAAAATAAGAGAACTATTTGTTTGATAGATTAAAAAAAAATACGAATTGTTTATATTTTACAGGTTATGTCATAAAAAAAAGAAGCTTTAAAGTTTTATTTATTATTATATTTTATTCAAAGAAGTAACGCATGCAAAAGCGCACCTACCAAAATGACTATCAACTTCTTTTTTCCACTCACTATAAGAGGTCTTTCATTATTAATAATTTAGATAAAAACTTATGATTCACTAACCTATAAATTCCTTCAACAACAATAATTATTTTTTTCCATGGACGGTTTGTACGCGGATGACCGTGAACGATAGCTGCTCGTAATTTTTTCTCCAAATCTTTCATATCTATTACAATAAAAAAAAACAACACATAATAAATAATTATTAATTATAATCAATAATTCACCATTATGTGCAAATGTTTGATAACTAGCACCTGATAAACGAATACCTAAGATCAATGAAACATGATTCATTTCATCACTTAAAATTAAATCTCCCTAAAAAATACAATACAATAAGATTTTTAAAAATATATTCAATTTTTCTTTGTATACTTTAGATGCTAAAACTGGAAGATTAAGTGAATTTGTTGCAAAGCCCTAAATAAATTAAAAGAGAAAAAAAATTTTTACTATTAAATTTCGTTGGTTCTATGTGAAAGAAACAAACCATGCCAAATGCAATTGAACTTTCAACATGAAGAAAATCAGCAAGAAGTTGTTCGAGTTCAACATGATATCTCTGTGTACCTTGAAGAAAAAAAAACTATTCAACATTTATTCATATACATTCGACAAAACAAAACTACATAACATATATAAAATTGTGTTAACATTGAATCACTGGGATATTTTTGGTCGCAAAGGTCATTAACACTATCGAATATACTATCAAATGTCTTTATTATCTCTTTTTTTTACAACGAAAAAGGCCAAATTATTTTTTCTTTTTTTTTTGTAAAAATCAATATCGTTGATGTATTTTTCATTTTTATTATCATACTTTATTTAGTATTGATTTTAAATGTTAATAAAAAATCGAACTATTATTAAATTTTAAAGAACTGGATGACATCAACACTATTTACCTTTATAAATCAACAAACATAAAAAAAAATGATTAATTATACTAACGAAAACGATAAAGAGTCCACTTTAAAATGCATCGTCATTAAGAAGAATAGAACAAAAATGAAAGTTGATGCATTAGCTATTATGAATCAATCTATTTCTTTTTTTTTTTTTTTTGGTGGGTGTGCGTGGCACTAAATATTTTCACAAAGTAAATATACTACGCTTCATACCTATTTCAGTTCTTGTATTACAGTTTGCAACACCAAATGTTTTAATTGAATTGATAGCATTTGTAGCACATGGACCTGTTTTTTCAGCAAAGCCTAAATAATTATATGAACCTAAATTGATTGCGCTTATTGTTTTTCCAGTATATCTTTTATAAAAAAAATACAAAAAAATTAATTAAAAAAAAAATTAAAGAATTATATTTTTTTAAAATTACCTATATGTCCAATTGTAATCATCTGAAACCCGTTCAGTTAATTCAAATTGTGCACCGGGCACACTTGCAATTGGTCGATTAAAAATATCCCGAACACGTGTATACATATTTCGTGTATAAAAAGATTCATAACTTTGATATAGTGGTACAAAAGCCTAATCGAAAAATAAAATAGAATAATTAATGAATTTAAAATTAAAAATAAACACAAAAACTAAACATACCAATGAAGCATTTGGATCAACAGCACCACGTTTCGTTTCAATATGTGATTGGCGAAGAAAATCTCTTAACCAACCAAATAGACAAAGTATAGCATAACTTAAATAGGTTAAAATGGCAGCATATAATGGTGTTTCTTCAAATTCTTCATGTTGTAAATTTTCATCGTCATTATTATTTTCAATTCCAATTTTATAATTTTTTTTTTTTAAATTTTCGTCAATCTAGACAAATAAAATTAATAATTAAAAGAATAGTTAATGAATATTAATCTATATAATACTTACTAATGGAAAAACAGTTTGTCCCATTTCTTCGTTCGAATGAAATTTTGATGTTAAATGACGATGCTACAAAGAAAAATAATGTAAAGATAATGAAATGTCGACAAGAATATATATATATATATGTATAATGATGGATCAATATCATCTTTTTATGTATGCATATGTCAATGATCAATATTTAGTCTACAGACAAAAGTAACAACAAAGAAAGCGATAGAAATGCAGATAGCAAATGAAGACTAGGACGGTAAAAAGAAAGATGTTTTTGCATTTGAAAAAAAAAGAGACGGTGCACAAAAATTGTTAACAGACGACGGTGATGATAATATATTTGATAACTTACAACAGTTGTAACATGGCCGGCCTGTAATGACGAAGCCACCATCGTTCTGAAATAAACAAAAAAAAACATTGTGATGATTCATATATAATAGCGAGATGTATCCATCCAAAAATCGGACCATATATATATAAATATAACATTTGTCACTGCTCCCTGTTTTCTCTATAAAATCTCTATAATATAGTGACGAAAGAAAACGAGCCTTATAGAAAGAACTCAAAAAAAAAAAAAAAAAAAAAAAAAATTGTCCTGTTCTTTTCTATTGCTTTATTATCAAGAGTTATTTTATTTCTCTCTGTATTACTCTTCAAAAAGAAAAACACATATAGGAATGATAATCGCAACATGATTCACTTAGAAAAAAAAAGGAAGACACTATCTGTATGCTCTTTTCAATAGAGGTCGTACATACGCATAAATTAAAATATCTTTTTGATTAGTCTATATGTCGATCCATTTAAAATGAAAGAACAACTTTTTTTTCCTTTTCTAACTCATTCTCTTGATCGGTCATTCAGTAAACTATCTATCGGTCATGCTTTGGGGTAAATATTTAGAAAAAAATAAAGAAATTTCTCGTTTTATAATTCAATTTAAATTTATTCTTTAATTAGATTCAACAATTATTAAAGAAGAATCATCAATGGTTCTTGATAATATGAATAATAATGAACAATTTCAATCAGCAACAACAGATAAATCATTTATTGATCAATATCAAGCTGATTTACAATCAATGGTAGATTCATTTGTTACATCTGTTGATGGCTTATCAACAATACGACCATCATCTATTAAACCACGACGTATTATATCACCATTAAAATATCAACGTTCTATAACATCAACTTCATCATTAGTTACATTTGATCGTGATCCAGCAGCAACTGAAACAACTGAACATTTAACAAATGAACTTCGTTGGTTATTAATACAATATGGACCACATCAACCACGTGATGATGAAGATCATTTTTTAGCAAGTGCAAAATCAACAAATAATGGTAAAGGATGTATGCGTTTTCGTTCAAAATGGTTTGATGATCCACGATTTTCTGATTGGCTTGAATATTCATTATCAACGGGTCGTGCTTATTGCTTTTATTGCCGTTTGTTTGCTGAATCAAATCGAAATCGTGCTTTTTCACGTGATGGTATAGATTTATAATATTTAAAAGAACTTTTTTTTTTGTTTTATCTCGATGTTATCTTTTTAATTTAGGTATAAAAAATTGGCGTAAATGTTTAGGATCACGTGGTCAAAAGAAAAGACGTTCAACAGGAACATCAATGAAATCTGATGAAGATATAATTATATGTCAAAGACGTGGCTTATTAGAATCACATGCTATGTCTGAAGCTCATAAACAAGCTTATAATAAATATCTTGCATTTGTTGATCGTATGCATTTCAATTCAGAACCAATTGAAAATAACAATGAAAGCAAGCAATCTGGTAAATATTGATTTTGAAGAAAATATATATATATATATATATATATATACTTCTATATTGATATTAAATTTCTTTAAAGAAAAAACTACGTCAGCAAATATGTAACATATTGAAATCGAATGTAAATAGTTCGGTCTAGATTAAAAAAAAAAGAAATATATGTTGGAGAAATTTTTATTTTATAATTTTTAGTTTACGAGAAACATAATTCCAGTTCACAATGTTCTCATATTGTTAAGTAACATTACATGTTTATCTTACTATTCATTTAGTAGTAAGATAAAGAAAAAGATGATCGTTTTTTTCCTTCTATCTGTTAATATATTATATAAATTCTGATCTAAAATAATACTAAGATGTCAAGATGTTTTTTGTTTTTTGACTCATTGAAAATTTAGAAAACAGAAAGATGATTATTTTTGTGATATAGCAAATAATTTACGGGTTCAAACAACATCAGATTAGGCATTAGAGCCAATCGAGTTCGAGAATTTCAGGCCCGACGTGTTTTACTACGGATACACCCAAGCGTAATAATAGAGTCATTGATTGTGAATTATATAAATTAGCTGTTGCGCCACAAATATAGAAGAATGTTTGCTTTTGACAAGTAAACGAAGAATGAGCTAATGAACTGTTTGACCTAATAAGAGATTGAAAGGAATCTGAAAAATAACCTAAGTTCATTGAATTTGAGTTTTTCCATTGACTTCAACACGTAATTTAACAACGTTGCTGAAATATCTCTTTTAACATTTTCTAGTATCATTCCTCCAACTTCAATATTTTCTACCGACGGAAAAAAATATTTTGTCATGTAATTCAGTACATAAAGGAGTTTTCCTTCATTCAGGTCAAAACGATCTAAATCGTTTAGGTACATGTCTATATATGATATTACATGATATTTTTTGTTTGTTCGTTAACATATTTCTCGTTAGTTCGATTTTTAATGACTTTCTACTAATGAAGTTCTCTCAATGGAATATCAGAGTAAATTTATTCTTTCGTTAAATCTTCATATGTATGAGATTGATGATAGAAATTCAATATCCTCAAATCATCATGATTTTCCAAAGGGTTTTATAAAGAGAGATAAAAATACGAAAATAAAAACCGTTTTTCAATTCTGTAATTATTGATTAATTTACTTTACTATCAAATATTTATTTATTTATTTTTTAGGTGATTCTATTTCTGAAAGTAATCTTTCACACAAAACTAAATAAGAGATTGATATGTATTTTGTAGTGTAAAAATGCTTTTTTGTTTTGTAGATTCGTAGGTTTGTTAGAATTGATTGTGTAAATTGATTTTCAATGTTTTGTTTGTGTTTTTGTTTCTTTGTTTTATGTCAAATCAATATGATAAAAGAAACAAACAATGAAATCATAGTTCGTTAATATTGTTTGTGCACTATGTCAGATATGCGGTTTTTTGTTATTATTGTTGTTTTTTTTTTGTTGTTATTAACGAATATTATTATAAAAAAATAAATTAATAAGCGCGTGATGTATCGTTGCTTTTATCTATTTGAATGTATATTCAAAAATTAGTTTCCTGTTTGTCGTTATCTAATATAATAATAAAACGAAAATTAATGACAAAACAGGAAAGATTAATAAGTGAAATAATTGCTGTACATGATCAGAATCTTGAATCGATTATAAATAAATCTGATTATGCAAAAAATTTATTATTACAATCATTATTTGATCGACAAATTCAAGAATATATTCATTTAAATTATAACATACCAATTGAAATCTATGATAAATATATGTATCGATTAAATTCATTGATTATTCATAATCCAAATGATTTTGATAAATATAAAAATTTGTTAGATAAAAATCGTTTTATATCTGAAATAGAGTATAATCAATTTTTATTATTTTTTTTCTCAAATTTTTTATATTTAAAATGAAATAATATTGATCAAGGGTTTTTAAATGCAAAGAAAAAAAAAGCATTGCTTTCTATGTTTGATAATATGAACTCGAAGAAATGCATTAAATTATCCATTATGTATTTACCAGCGGCGGATCTAGAAATTTTTCAATATGAAGCGATTATTCGCATAAAATGTATTTTGAAGCTCTATAAAGGTAGTTTCAGCTCCATTTTAAGCGTTTTCTTCTAGAAAAAACCAGTTTTTTGTTCTGTCGATATGGAGCGATCGCCCCAAACGCCCTCCCCCTAAATCCCCCACTGGTATTTACAAATTCGTTGCTAGATGTTTTTGAAAAAAAAGAAAGAATGATGATTATGTTTTATTGAAAAATTGTTCATAATGATCAGATTTTATGCAAAAATGATTCTCAACTTGGAGACAAAAATATTGTATGAATAAATCTAGATTAAGAATAAAAATAAATATTCTATATTATATAAAATCAATTAGTTGATCTATAAATAAACAAAGAGTATACTGCAATGTTTTTTATATCGGCAAAAATGGAACGTGACCATCTTTGATTTGACTTTAATTTTTATAAAGATTATTTTTTTGAACAAGTTCCTTTTCTACGAATATGTGTAATAATATTGGCTCTTTCAACTGGTACTTAATTAAGCTTAATTAGCTAATGAGTTAAAATGTAATTAACACATAACTCTCAAATCTCATGCCAGATAGATCAAAGAAATTTAGAATAGGCTTCACACCATAAACTATATTCATAGTGAAGTTTTTGAATAAGACTCAGTTTTTTTGAAAAATCGGCTTTTCAGAGATCTGCTCATGTTACAAATCGAGACTTTTTGTTTTACTATCATCTCGAGGTCCACAATAAGTATCTGTATTATTTACAATTGGTTTTGAAAATTTCCATTCAGTTATAAGAGAATTTTTCGTTTCTATATTCGTACTCGCTCACATCGCTAACCACAAAGAAACTCTACTTGTCAAGAAACTTAAGCATGTTCGAGAAAAATTCTGTATAGACTTTCTAGCCTGAAAAGTTCTCTACAAAGCACACTGTTTAGTTTTCGAAAATATTATTCGAGCTTGCAGTGAAAACCTTTTTCCTTATTTTTGGTGTCATGCGGTTAATGCTAGTGTTTTCAATAATAACTCAGTAAAATAAAAGTCTATAGGGCTACTGTTTTCAAAGTATCTAGAGTAATTCAATTTATATATATGATACAAAAAAAAATTTAGCTAAAAGGAGTTTCAAAGTCTCGACATATACGTGTTTTTATTTTGCAAAATCCTGTCGCTAACGAATGATATTGCTCATAAATTATTGTCGGCGTCACACTTAAATGGACTCCACCGTTTTTTGAATATCTCGACACTAGTTTGAGCTACTGATCTGCGATTTTTGTCAATTGAAAGAGAAGAAGTCGGGATATCTTTTCCTCCGATAGTGTATTATACGAAATCCTTTTAAAATTAATCATCTTCGTAAAACATGCAAAAGAATGCATAAAAATGACCTGTCATCTAGATAAAATTTTGACTTCGACCTATGATTTAGATAGAGAGACTTTACATCTATAGTTCAAGATAGAATACAAATGGTTCTCTTATTACATTCTAACGTTGAGCAAATGGAATCATGTATTTACGTGTACAAATAATAGAGAATTTTACTGATTTTTTTTTACTAAGTTTTCACGCTTTTTAATATAATAGCTTGACATTTCGATGATAATGTAATGAAAAGTAAGAAAGTGCATTGTATCTAGAACTATAGATCTGAAATTTCTCTATCTAAATCAAAGACAAAAATCAAAATTTCATCTAGATAGCAGGCCATTTTCATGCATTATCTTCGAAGATGATTAGTTTTTAAAAAACTTCGTCTTATACATCATCGGAGAAAAAGATATCTAGACTTCTTCTCTTTCAATTGATGAAAATTACAGATCGATAGCTCAAACTAGTGTTGAGATATTCAAAAAACAATGGAGTCCATTTAAGTCTGGCACCGATAATACTAAAGCATTTCAGAACAATCCATTGATCCCTTTAGTTTTTATTGACAATACAATCACAACATGCTGTTACTCATTCTTCCAAACATATCCAATCACTCATTATTGCAGATTGTTGCACGCCTGTTCTTAGTTGAAATATTCGTTATAATCATGATTCAATTAAATAACTGGCGCTCTACGAAATTCCTATAATGTTTAGATAATTTTATTGTTCAATATACCATTAGTAAGAGCAGCACAAATTGTATTAAATATTCTATTTGAATAGATATTTCATGTTAGAAAATTGTTTTCCTCGTCTCCTATGTGTACCGTGATCGCAGATAGACTTTATTATACTGTTTTGTTGATACATCGAAGAAAGTAGAAGTTGCTTTAACAGCGTCAATTTGTATGGAATCTTTTTTCTGTAGAAAATTCTTACAGTTGAAATCATATCACTTAAGTTATATACCTTTATTATGCTATGAATAGCAGGAATAGAAAGCTTACGTGAGTCTTAGCAATACACTAAGTGTTAATCTCACTAATCGATAGATTCTTGTTTGATGAGATACATATTTATTCTGTTGCAGGGACTGCAATAAACTTGTTTTTCACTCCTGTTAGGTATAGTGTAACAAAGTTAAAGAGCTTAAGAACTATAATCGGTTTCGATTTCAAATATAAGAGTTTCGTACGCAAAAAAAGATTCCCTACAAATCTACGTTGTTAACACAACTCCTACTTTTTCCAATGTGTGGATAAGATAGTACAAGAACGTCTATCTGCGTATTTTCTGACTCTCCGTTCTCGAGCTCATCGCAACAGAAAATGATAACTTTCTATAACTATGCATAGTTAGTAAAAGCTAAAAAAAGAAAACTCGCAAATGACTACATAAATGTAGTATGTACCGATCTCAATTTTCAGCAATGCAATTTCAATTAACATAAGAATGATAAACGATTTTATCTAGAGTTGATCCTGTCCTGTCGAAGATTTACATTATTTCTTCTGCTCACAACAGTTTACTGGAAGACTAACTTACCAAATTTTTATTATCTTTGATAAAAAAAAAATGGTGGCCAAATCATCAAAATCACTGTTTTGTGAAACTTACTGAAGATGAACGAAAACTCATATTGAAGATTCAAAAACTTTTATATCATCTCGAGAGAAGGATCTTCCTGACATAGTTCGAATGAATTTCTAGTGACTCACCGTTCTCTAAAATATCGTGACACAAACTACAGATTTCGTTATAGCGAAAAACATGTAGAGTATGGAGGTCAAATGCATATACGACCGACTACAGAAATGCTTTGCTTTGCACTGCATTAATAAGAAGGACCATCGTTGCTTTTTTAAACGTTACTATGTTAGATTTTTTTAGAATTGATAACTTCTAGAAATCTCAAGACTAAATATTATTTATTGTGTTGATATATTATCAACTTCTGATGTCCTCCATTTTTGTAAGGCCGAATATACACAATAATAAAAACATATCATTTTTCTTATCTTTAGTCTATCCTATAAAGAATCTCTTCATATATCTCAAAATGTATGTGGTAAGATCTTATACATAGTTTTCATTCTTTTACTTGGCTCGGTGTAGTTACTTATTATCAATTATTTGTAAAAAAAAGAAAAAAGAATTAAAAAAGAAAAATAATGGATGATGATATTTTAGAGAAATTTGATCAAGTAACTAAGATTTTTGAAGAAAAATTTCAATCAACAGCAATACAACAACAAAATCAAACGTATATTGAACATCTTTATGAACAATTAAATAAATTGAAATTAAATATGGATGAACAAATAAGACAAATTATTAAAGAAAAAACAAATGAAATAACACAATATTATGATCAATATTGTCAAGAAATTAATAAAAAATATGAAAGTATAAAAGAACAAATAGAAAATCCAAATTTATCATCTGATATATATGATCAAATTGAAAATCTTAATATTTATTGTCAATCAAATATAATTGAAAAACGTATATATTTAAATACAATACAATTTACAAAAAATGAATTAGATAAAAAAATTCAATTAGAATATAAGTTCTATCATGATATACCACAAGAAACAACAATTATACCATTAAAAACAACCATTAAAGGACGAAATGAATCAATTTCTAGTATTCGTTCATCGTCAAGGTCATCATCTATTTCACAACGAATAAAAAGAACATCTTCAGAAAATAATTCAAACGTATTTGATCACGAAGACGATATTAATACTTCAAATAAACCTACAAAAAGAGCAAATGACTTAAAACCAATCGTTAAAGAACGAAGTGAATCAATTTCTAGTATTCATTCATCGTCAAGGTCATCACTTATTCCAAAACAAATAAAAAGAAGACCTTTAAAAGATAATTCAAGCGTATCTGCTCATGAAGACAATATCGCATCGAAACCACTAACTGATCGTATAAAGAAAGAAGATATTAATACTTCAAATAAACCTGCAACAATAACAAATGACGTAACATCGAAACGTTCAACTAAATTATATACTGGCAAACATAATGCATTAGTTTCTATTCTTATTAATAAAAATCGTGAAATTTATAATGAAATAGAAAAAATAACTGAATATTCTATTGATTCCATTACAATACCACAAGGTGAACAACAACAAGAACTTACAAATATACACAATGATAATGATAATGATAATGATGATGATAATGATAAAACTTTAAAATTAATTCATGCTTATAAAGTTCTTGCACGAGAAAAAAATGATTATCAACCATTATCAACATCAGATAGTGGTGACGAAGAAGAAAAAAAGTCGAGTGTTAATAGATTATTTAATTTACAACAATTTGATCAAACAAATTCCTCAACAATTATGTTTAAAAAATGTGAAACAGCATATAATTGTATGTCGAGTTCAACAAAACGAAATGAATTATTGATATATAATTCTAAATTAAAAATTTTAATTATTTTAATATATGAAAATAATAAAAGATGTCATGATCAATTATTTGTACAATGGTCAAAAGATTTTAGTCCAAATATATCTGATATAACATATTGTCAACATATTGATCATTTTTTAATATCAACATACGATACTTGTCATATATATTTATTTAATCGTGATTTATTATCTATATATAAGTTAGGTAAATTATCGAATAATTTATCATTACGTCGTATTCATTGTTATCAAGAAACAGTTTATTGTATATTAGGAAATAATTATCTTTTAGAATTGCAATTAAATGATCAATATAAAAATTTAAAATTTATGCAACAAATTAAATTATTTAATCCAATTGAACATTCACATGATGAAAAACTTTATTTATTAGATGTAACCTGTGATAATAATTATTTAATTGTTATTTATTCAAATGAAAATGATGAAATACATTTACAAAGTATTCATCGACAAACAAAAAAATTACATTGTGATTTTATAATAGATAATATACAACCGATTAATCAAGTTTATATAAGAATTGAATCAACAAATTATAATGGAAATTTTGTTTATCTTAATGGCAAACAACAAATTTTAAAAGCAATTAATTTAATAGATAATGATGATGAAAAAATAGTATCAACTATACGTCAACAAAAAAAACCAACAAATATTTGTTTTTTTCGAGATGGTCGACTAGTGATTTTACATGAATATCCACATTATTTGTCAGTACATAATTTGAATAATCATTGAGAAATAAATGAAGTGTAATTTTTTTATTAGTATTTTGTTTCTGTTCTTTTGTTTTTTTTTTTTACAAATTGTGCCATTAATTTCTTTTTATTATGATTGTGAGTAAAAATTTAATTGGTGTTTTTTTTTGTCTGCAAAATAAAACAAACAAGATGAGGTTCAAACAAATATTAATTAAATATAATCAAGTAAAACACTCATAACTCAACAAACAAAGAACAGAAAACTAAACCAAAACAGACTTTTTTACTACTCATCATGACCGATCAAATGGCAATGATCTCAAGCAAAAAGGGACTGGATAGTTGGAAACATTTCCTCGTCAGTCTCACATAAATAGAGATGTGCAGAACCAAGTTTTTTTGGTCCCAATCATGGTCTCCATAAATCTAATCTAGTTTCGGTCCCCGTCCCAATGATTTTAATTTTTCGGGTCCTAGTTCCGATCTAGAAAAATCTATTCCAGAATTTATTCGTATCATATCTAAAAAAAATTCTCCAATACTCGTTTTTTTTTTATTTATTATCTGTCTTAAATCAGGTTCCGATTGATATGATTTATCAGATAATTCACATAAAGCTATAGAATGTTTAACCATAATCTTTAATTGTTGTGGTTAGAACAATTTTTTTTTGTCGCAGCTCTCTCGGTCTAGAAAGTCTTCAAATTTTAATTTCACTCATCTGTACACATGCATTGTAGATATAGGGCTTGAATATATTCGAACTTGACGTTGTCTGACTAGACGAACGTTATTTTACTGTAGCGATTGAAACTCTTTACACATTTATCTATACAATGTGATGAAGAAAATTGACAAGTTGAGACTGTAGTAAAGCTCATCTATCTTATCGTCACGGTTCTTAGCGACCAACATATTTCATTTTATTCATATAGAATGGTATGTCAACTAGATCAATCGTAGAATTATGTGCTCGAAAGGTAAAACTGTCTGCATCCAAGCATCTGTCTTCTCTTTCATGATATGATCGTTCACTTTATTGAGTGAAAATACAGTTCTAATAATCGAATTGTGAAAAAAATAATACTAACTAAACATAGTCTAAAGTTAGTTTATTTGTATAATTATCTGAATTTCGAGTTCTCGTATTTAATGGATGTCTTTGACATCATGAGTCTATTACTTTCTTTCGACTATAGCATTAGCACTAATATTTTATATTATAATCCATAATTATCATCGAAACGATTCACTGAATCAATTCTTGAATACTTTTAAAAAATAGAAAAAAGCCAAACATCCTCATTTATAGAACTAAATAGTCTGAAACGTTTTATTATCTGAACTTCGATCAATTCTATGCCAAAGTAATATGTAACAAGTTTGCTTAGGATTACAAATAAATTTCTATTGAGCATCCAATCACTTGAAAATATTCTACTGCTCCCGAGAATTTCTATGAAAACAAAAACAATATCGAGGATCTCGAATTTCGCCTACAAAATCTTTCCATAAAAACGACTAACAGTAAAAATTCATTGGAAAAAGCCGAATTAACAATGTCAAAATAACTAATGTGCACGAAATTGAGGAATTCTTTCATTAAAAAAAAATTTTGTTTCAACATTAAGATATTGAATTCAATAAAAAGACAAAGTCACAGAGAACCAAAATCTAGATAATACATTGGCTCAAAAAAAAAATGAAATGTGTCTTTTGCATCTAATTAGATCTAAGGTACAGTTGTCAGATGTAAAAATTAGAAATCAGGAATTTTTTTCTGTTGACACTCAGAAAAAAATTGGAAATAAGCTATTCAACATTTAGTTACCATGCTTGTCTATGATCATTCTTTTACTTCCTGTAACCATGATGAATATTTTTTCATAGTTAACCAAGCGTTCCTATAAACATCTTTTGTCTCTCTTTAATTTACGAGAAACTAATGTTGTTCCCGTTTCTGTGAAGATTATTACTCATGTAATTGTTGTCTCTTCTTCAATCTTATTCCAATTCATATTTGAATCTTTAAGTTTTTTTCGTACACTATTTAGTTCAATTTTGTCTAAAATGTAACACGTAATATATACCAAGCATCTTCTTAAATTTTCAATTCAGTTTATATTGAAAAAAATTGTTGATTCAAATGACTTTTCATGAATACAGAATATTTTGTTTATTTTGAAAATGCTTTATATTGAAGCGATCGTATACTGTACTGTTCGTTAGCAGTCTCAAAATACTGAATTATGAAATTGACTATGGGAGAACAAAGATGATATAGTAATTGCTAATTACAATTGAAATAATAATTTTTAATTCAACTCTTCTAAAACTGAAATCTAGAAACATACCATACGATATGTTTAATTTAACTGTAGATGTTACTCTCATCCTTGTAGCTTTCCATCGATATCGCTCAGCATTTGCATTGCTTTGAATCAAGTTTCTTTTTTCTATATAAAATTGCTGTAAAATTCTGTTGAAATAAATCTATTTTGTTCAACAAATATTATCACTTCTATATATAAAAACTAAAAATAATTTTAGTAAACTATTAAGTACAGCTAGAAAAATTGTCATATTTCTCAACAGGGAAAAAAGCAAAACTTGAGTAGTCCGAAGTACGATACTTTACTGATACTTCACTCTTACTTTGTCGTATTGCAATCTTGCTTTTTTCCTCATTACATATGCGTGAAATTTTTTCCAGAATTTTTTCATGAATACAGTTTTGTTGATAGAAACTGACTGTATTTATGACAACGTGATTTAAACTACGGAGTAATACATGTATCAGATAAGAGCTTAAAACTTAACGAAGTACATAAAAATAAAAAATTTTGAAAGTTGTACTTAATATTTCGCTAATATTATGTTTAGTGTTGGGAATGAAAAAGACAACATTCATTGAACGCTAAAGATAAATTTATGCAAATTCTCATAATGATTTAAAACTTTTGGTTGAAAATGATGAAAACTACTTAAAATCGATTATGAAACAATACAAAACAAATAAATAAATAATTGAAACAAATATCATATGTACAGTACATCTTTCTTTCTTGGTGGAAAATATTCTACAACTATTTTAATGAAAACCTTGAAAATAGATTAAAAATAATGTAGAATGCATCATAATCATGTTGACATAGTCCTATGGAACTAGATCACTTAATATCAGGACTTTCAATCAAAAACCGGAAAATCATGACATTTCTAAAAAGTCGGAAAAAAATCCGGAAAGTAATATCGCGAGAAGATTTATCTATTACCATTACTTTCATTATCACCTTATCTTCGTGTCTACGCATAATGTAAGAAACCTATTTGTTTTGTTGAATTCATAAAGCTTTCATAACAACATTGCAAATGATTTTAATCTAGCTCAGATTTTTCGTATAGTTCTTCTTTACTTGTACAAAACTCAATGTTTTCTCAAAAACGTTTTCTAAACCGGTTTGACTATGAAAATATTATTAATAGTCACATGAGGTAACAAAAAATTTTAGCGTTTATATCAAAAATATTATACACTGCTCAAATCTATAAATCTGATGGAACGAGAAAAGTGTTTGACCCTATCCAAGTCTTGTGGCTTCGTTACCAACGATTATTGAACATGAGTTAGTAATATGTAAAATGTGGACTGACTTTGTAACAACACGTCATCTATCAGAAGAAAATGAGAATTAAACAGTAGTAGAAAATTTTAACATTAAATAGAGTCTATCTAAGCCTTTATCTGTTCAATTCACGGTAGATTCAAGCCTTGTGGCTCCACTGTCTATATATATGAGTGATGTAAAAGACACATTATTATCATAGCTGTATCTCAGGATAGGAACAGTGACAAGATCTGAAATATCTACAAAGATTATTCTTGCTAAGACCTGTCTCTCTGCAAAGTATCAAATTGAAATTTGAAAATGAGTTTTCTTGGTGTTCCTAAGAGGAATCACAGCATTTATTGAAAAACTAGTGTAAAAATGCAGTATCTCGGCAGTAATAAGCTAAGGATATGAACTCTTTTTAGGATATTCATAGATTATTTGGGTCTACATAATGCACATAGTTTCCACTCAATAGCGAATTTATCACAAGTTGACTTATCGGTCATATCGAAAAACAAAATATCAATTTTGAGGACATATCAATCACAGTAATCATTCAAGATATATTTTTAGACGTTTCTTGCTTTTAATCTTTCATTTAAACGATGCATAATTTGAGTATTTCATCTTTATACATAACTTCATGTATTGATCTTTTTAACGTTGCCGTCTATTCAACTAATCATTTCAAATATCACCGTAATTTATTGAGAAATCTTTTCTTTTTTGAAACAAAACTTTTTCTTCCATTTCACAAAAGAAAATCCCCTGAACCATTCTATAATAAATGTTAACGAATTCTTCTTTTTTTTATACTCCTCTCACGTGCATACAGACACACACACACGCACACTCACAGATGTGTATTAGCAAGAGATTAAAAAATAAGAAACAAACAATAGAATACTAGCTAATGAAACAAAGACAAAATCAAAACAAATAGTTTGAATAAAAACACGACAATCGAAAATAGGCAAGATAATCATCAAAACAAAAAAAAAATCTAAAGAAAAGAAGAAAACAAACATCACATATAGAATGATGTAAACAATTGCAATAGTTACGAATGTTTCCTCTCAAGAGATTTTGTTCTGTAAATAAAAGAAAACCACATACACTAAATAGAAAGAACGTAAATGAGTAAAACATAAAAAAAAAGAAATGCTAAGAGAACATAAAAAATAAATGTCTTGTTTTTTTGTTGAGGCTCAAGTAAAGGCTCTTGTCAATAATAAATTTTTATGAAGTTTGCAATGAGAATAAAGAAACAAGTATAAATAACACTTAATGAAATTTAACATCAAAACAGTAGAAAAGAATTGATCCTAAGAGAATATGAGTAAAAATTTTCACAAATACAAATTCGTTATAAATAAATCACCTTGATATTGATAGTCTTACATAACCAAAAAAAAGAAAAAAAAGAAAAATTTGTTTTACTCAATGATCTCAAAAAAAAAATTAAAATGTTTATAGCTCCACATGCGGTTGTTCTTCTTCTCCTTCAACACCTTCGTCACCTTGTTCAGAAGCCTAAAAAAAATAAAACGAAAATTTTAATAATTTAAACTAATTCTTAGTTTTTTTTCTTGAATATACCTTATCACTAGTTTCATCTTTACCACTGTCTTGACCATTTGAATCAATAAATTTTGATAGGCCTTCAACTGTACGTGGACCATTATATTCAATAGCTTCATCGGAATCTTTTGGAAAAAGGCTTTAGAAAAAAAAATATAAACTTTAACAATATTAAAAACGAATTTTTTTTTGTAAAACATACTTAATTGTTGGAAAGCTTTGAATTTTTATATCTTCAAGTTCATTAACAGTAGCATCCATTTTAGCAACAACAACATCTGAATTATCTTTATATTTTTCACCTAATTCTTCATAAATTGGTGTTAACTGTTTGCAATGACCGCACCTAAAACAAAAACAAAAGTCAGAAATTAATCACTTTGTCTTGGATTTTATCGTCATGATTGAGTGACTTTGTTATTCAATATATATTCACAAGGTCTGCTATTCAAAACTCAGTGCTATCAACCGTGAAATGTCCTTGGATAAGGCACTAAAAGGGTCATTAACTCAACAGTACACTGATTAGATAGTAACACACATTGATCCTTGCCGCTAGTACGCAATTAGGCAAGGTCTATGGGCAGCTCGAGCAGAGAGAAATGACTGATGAGGAAAGGTTCACAAGTGATAAATTGCTTTTGAGTTGAAACTATATTCAATCGGTACGGCCTAATGAGTAGATAAATATCCTAGAATAGTTCGAGCTGCTGAAATTTCAAATGTTTAGTGAATTTTCCCTGTAGGACCTCAGTTTTCAAGCAAAATCGTACTTTTGAAGTTTGATCTGAAACTTTGTCCACATAAAAACAGCGATTATACTAGTTTATAGAAAAAATTTTAGCATATTTTTTTTTAACCAAGTATCTCCGAAATATGAATCTTTCCAAATATCAATATTTTTTACAATCGTCATGACAAAATGTCTTCAGCTCAAAAACAATCCATATATCGAAAAAGTTTAGTGAAAAAATTCTGAATTTTTTTTGTATAAGATAGTCTAATCGATACCTTTATGTGAATAAAGTTTCAGATGGAAATTCAAAATCTTTGCAACAAATGTCCAGAAACTCGAATCAATCTAAGGTATTTGCTGCCTCGTTAAACCCTATCGATTGAATATAGTTCTAGCTTATAAGCGACTTATTACTTGGGAATCTTTCTTCCTGAGTTAGACTGACCCTCTGTCCAAAGCTACACCTATTAATAGTTACAGAGAAGATATCGGGTAGCATTCTATACCGAGAATCGAGATATTCTTCCTTTCTTCTTTGATTTTCTTATTCTTACCATGGAGCAATAAATGTAACAAGTACAGTTTTTTTTTTATCTTTTGCAACTTCATGAAAATTTTTTCCAACTAAAATTTTCACTGGAGCCTTATCCCAATCTTCTGGAATTTCTTGTGAAAGTAAATGTGGTTTGAGTTTACCATCATGAAAGTCACGAACAAATTTTGTTAATAATTCTGATGTTACATCAGATGATTCTGGTTTATATTTGCGCATTTCATCTTGTAATGTAATTAAACGTACAACTGGAACATCTGAAGCTTTAAGACCAAAGTATTCAAGTACACGTTCATTATCAGCCGCATCCGAATCAACAAAAACAAAAACTGTCTATATAGAAAATAACAAAAGAAAAATGAATTGATTTAAAAATAAAATTTTGTAATTTACTTTTCCACGAAATTCTTTTGCAGTTGTTTGCAATTCTTGACGATTTTTTTCATAAGCATCACTTTTTTTACTATCAAATAAAATAGTATGAACTTTAATATCACCGCCAAAGATCTGTTGAGCTGTCTAAAGAAAGAAAAATAAAACAAAACAAAATTAAGTTTATGGTTTTAATAAATCATTTCATTTATTTTTTACTTCTGCACTAAAATCAATAACAATTGGAAGTTGATTAGCTAGAATAAATTCACGAATTGAATCTTCATTAATTGATGATGTAAGATCATTACGACCTTCATCAAACTAATATAGAAAATATTCAATAAATATCTATATAAAATAACAATCATCATACTTTTTTCAAAAGAACAACTGTATCATCTTTAACTTGAAGTTCTTTAAGAACATCACTATTTGATGTAATACCAAATGGCATACCATCCATACTTTTAGCAACTTGAAGAAAAGCCATAGCATTATCACCCTCAGTATCCTATTTTCAATTTTGTATAGTATTATTTTTTTTTTTTGAATAAAAAACAAAACGAAAGAGAATTACCTTGAAAGCACCAATAACAACAACCGCATCAGATTCTTTTAATTTATTAAGGTCATCAACTGTTTTTAATTCATCAGCTGGAGGTCCTGTTTTCTTTTTTAACCAACCAAGTATTTCACTTTCTGATCGACCACCATTATATTCAAGTGTTGTACCCTCACGAAAAAATTTCAATGTTGGATATCCTTGAACCTCATATTGTTTTGCAAGATCACCGTCAATTGTTGCATCAACAGTAGCTAATTTTACTTCACTACCAGATTCTGCTAGTTTTTTAGCAGCTGCAGCATAAGCTGGTGCTAAAGTTTTACAATGACCACACCTTCAAAAACAAATATATATATATATATATATATGATAGAGAGATTTATTAATAATAAAAGAATATTTACCATGGTGCAACGAATTTAACAAGTAAATATTTATTATTTTTAACAGCATCATCAAATGTATCTTTCGTTAATGAAAGAACATAACTATCGTCTACCTTTGATGCCTCGTCATCGCAATGTATATGTTTAGTTGTATGAGTAAGAATAACAATAACAGCTAAAATTGTTGCTTGTATAAAGCCAGGAAACATTTTGTTATTATTCGTATATGATACAAACAATCAAAATAGTGATCTAGAAAATAGAAGTGGAAAATAAGAGTGTTTACATGTTCGATCTTCAATCACATATGTATGTATTATAAAACAACCTTTAATTCATATCCTTCATTTACAGCAAGATATATATAGTGATCAACTCAACCATCCAGAATAAAGCACGACTATGTGCATATTTCTGTGTAATACCAATCGTCGACGTGTACGGTATGCGTTTGCGTATACGATTCATGGGATACATTACCGAATCAAAAAGACTAACGAAAAAATAACAAAAAGAATACATGTATTATTCTAATTCGATAGAGGCCCAAAAAATAGAAAAATCACGATGGACGTAAAAAAAATTAGATCTCTTAGGAATAATATATTCTTCATTTTTGTTATTTAATATTATAATAATAAATAAAAATATATATTTATAGATGAATGAATTTATAACTCATTAGAAATTGTAGACACAAGAAAAACTATAAAATTTTATGATTGGTGAAAATCAAATGACTCATTTCAATCATCTGAGTCGAAACGGTCAAGTCGATGTTTTTTTCTTCCCATTATATTCAATTGCAATGAGAAGTATTCATAGACTGAAAAATGGAAATTCTCTCATAGTCCTATGATTTTTAAAAGGAAAAAGAAAAAACAATATCCACAATAGTTTTTGCTATTACATTCATATCCATCAAGAAATTTGCGAACATGAATGAGTGAGTATGAAAATTATTCTAGAAAAAAAACAAACATCACTATAGTTTTTATGAATAGCAAAAATGTGAGTGAATTAATGTTTAATTCTCATGTTCCGAAGGAATAATCATAGCTTCGTTGAAAGTTCCTCAACAGCTTAAGAATTCTTATTTCTCAAATCTTGGACATTGTTGACTATAATCAGAAAATAGATGTAATCCTAAATTTGAATTAAATCAAAAAAGACCATTTTTAGTCATGGTTTTTTTATTCAGCACAATTTTTTTTTAAAAACTCACATATAGCTTCTTTCTTATCTTCAATATACCAATTATTATTGAAATCTATTGTTCTAGGTCATTCGTTGAGATAACGAAGAAATTAAATATTTACGATTATTTTTTAGCCCTTAGTAGACTCTCTGAGAGAGTCTCGAGATTGGGGAGGTTATAAAAAAGTAGGGTAAAATTTTCTCATCTTGTTGAATAATAATAAATTATTTTCAACTGTTGCAGAGATGTACACCTTTCCTCCCCCCCACTCACCACTTTCGTTGGGCCTACTCCATAGTTTCATATTATTTCTACTATATGCTATTGAGAATATTCAATTATGTATTTCCAAAGAATACATACATTATAAAATTGTTTTTCAAATAATAAATTAAATTAAAGAAAATTTTGAAAGATACATCAAGTTTTAATAAACTTCTTTGGCTAATTATACAATTTTTCTCAATGATTAATTTTACGGTAGAATAGATTTTTCATTTTATTACATCGTCTATAAAAATAAACATAATGAAATTATTGTATTTTTTTTTTTCGAAAGAATAAAGATTCATTTTTATTTCTAATTTTGAAAAGAAAAAACTTTGAATCAATGTTTTAATATCTATTGTTCTACCTTCCTTTTTTTCCTCTAATGATAAATTGATTTTATTCTGCACTTTTCTTAAAATAAAGGTGAAAGTGTAATTTGATTAGAACTTTTATCGTAATGTCAGCCATTAGTTTTTCATCAGGCAACATGTTATTCTTATGTTTTTTATGTGATGATTCAACACGAGCAAAAAAAAGGCTTTTGCTTTTCTTGGATGTTTTTTTTTTTATGTAATTGAAGTTATTTTCTCTTGCGTTACACTTTTACTTCTCATCTCGTTGATATGCATTTACTTTTAGTCTTCTTCCTTCTTTTTTATTCTTTAGTTTTTTATTGAATACATTTCAGTTTTCTATATGGACCCAGATTTGTTCTGCCATATAAATTCGAGAAAATGATTATTTTTTTATGCTTATATGAGCTTTACTTTCTTTTTCTTTTTTTCTTTTTATACGACAAAGAAGACGATGAAGTTTCAAATATATGACTCATTCTTTTTCTTCCCGTTTCAATTGCGTCTAGTAAAAGTCAGCTTATAAAAAAAAAAAAGAAAAATAATGGTGTGCATTCATTTACCCATACTCTATCTGTATGCATAGTCAAAAGAGAATGTATGATAATGATGAAGTAACACTCGTCTTCGTCCTTTCTCATTCGTTTTTATTATCAGTAAGTAAACATGATGAAATGGGTAAAGGTTCTTATAGTCGATAAACGAAAAAAAAAAAGAACTAGTTGTTTGTTGAAATATTCTAGATAATTCATATTTATCTACATTAAAAATAATTCAATATGATTTCTAAAATGTCTTCTATCTTTCTGTTATTCGGTAAGATTAAAATTATATTAAACAAAAAGAAAATTACATATTTTGTTTTCTTTTTTAGTGTCTATGTTTATTATCTCATCGGCCTATGTAAGATAAAAAAAAAAATCCAAATACTAAACCTTAAATTTAAAAACAATAATTATTCTATTTTAGAAATTAGTCCCACCAACTAATTATACATGGCCTCAAAATACCAAAAAATTATGTTTTGCTGGTCGTTTTGATCTTGTACTTAATGTTGATTATGTACAAATTGATGGCGTAAGATTTTTGATTATTTTATTTATAATAGGAAATTTTATTTCTATTATTTTTGTTTTTCAAGGCAAAAGCTACAGCTAAAATTCCATTAAATAATGATACATTTGAATCATATAGAGTATCCTGTACAGCACCAGATGATGTTCATGAATTAACATTATCAATATTAAATGGTTTTACAGAAATTTTATTAGATTTTTCTGTTGATAGTAAAAATATAACATCATTAACAAAAGTTTATGGTTATATAACATTAAATGATAAACAAACATATTTTAAAAATTATTCACAGGCTATAGCAGGTTGGTTTGATATATAGATTTATACGACAAAAAAAATTAATTTTATTTGAATAGGTATACATAAATTTTCATCAAATCAAACATTATTTGTAACTGAACGTGGTAATTCATATCGATGTAATACAAAAACAATAATTCAAGGTTTCAATACAACTCAAAATGTAACAGTTACATCGATTGAATTAGAAAATTTACGTATTCAACCATTTGTTGATGAGTCAACAGAATTTAATGATTATGGCGTTGGTATGCATTTCAAAAAAAAAAAAAGAAAAAAGATGTATTTTTTGTTAAAACTTTCCTTTATTTTTTGTGCATTTTAGAAAGAGTTTGTTCAACTGATATTGATAAGAATTCTAATTTAATTCCAATTATTGTTGGTGCTTGTCTTGCTGTATTGGTTGTTATTGTACTTGTTGCATATCTTATTGGTCGTCGACGTAGTCGTAATGGATATCAAAGTGTTTAAATATTCCATCAGCATTACAAGATATGACATTTTTCTATTATTTTTCTATAGAAACACTCTTTTTTTTGTCTTCTTCTCATTGCATTTACCATTTTAAAATGATGAGATATAAAAACAAACAAACAAAAAAAAGACAAAACGAGTTTTCAGTCACTTTTCTTTTCTATGTACAAATTAGGTAAGATCTATTCTTTGAAATTATAATTTGTGTATGTAGCACATACAAACTAAACCAGAGCTTTATCAGCATAAAAGAAAAATAAAAACAATTTGTTGAATTCTTATGATTTCTTTTTGTTTTTTTGATTGTTAACAAATAAACAATTTATTTTTCAAAATTACCATACATGAAAACGATAACGATCCATACTTCGTTGGATACTTTTATGAGCATTTCTAGTTCTTTTTGTTTCATTATGTTTGATATCGGGAAAGAGTTTGAAAGTACGATTATTGGATATTGGTAGAGGCAATGGTTCGAACTATAAAAAGAAATATATACATTGAAATATTTGTTATATAAATAGAATGAGAAATATTTTAGATGTTATATGCAAGTTAAATTCTATGAATAGAATGTATATTTACTATGAAGAAATATAAGTCTGTGTTGATAGAGAATAAAAAGTTAATATAACTTTGGATGAGAATATTAGAAAACATATCATGTATTTACTTTCTTTTCCTAGATAACCTATTCATTTTCATTTATTCATATTGTTATGCATATGCTAATGACTTCTTTTGCATAGACATCGAAAAATGGTTTTTGAAAGTATTGTTATGAACAAACGGAGTACTATTTTAAATGTTTCGAGTTTTGAATTCCAAGAGAAGGCAGTTATTATCCTACTGCAAGGAATATATAAGTTAAAAAATTCTTCTTTTTTTTTGGGATTGAAACATAACTTAACAGTATAATATATTTAAACTTTATATCATAAATTCGAAGATAAATAAACATCGACAAAAGAAGTACGACTCAAAAAACGTAAGCTTAAAGATCCTTTTTTTTCTTTTTTGGTCGTAGTTTGCTAATGAGAAAATCTTCCCAATTTAAACATCGCTTTTGAATTCGGACTCTATGCATAAGACAGATCACAATGAGGTATTAAAAACTCGAAAAGTATACGGACACCTAGGCCTTTCCTACAGACTTATAGACATTGTACTGAAATTTTAGTCTATCACACAGTGTGTACAAAAGAATTGAATGACGGCATTTTGCTCATAGATAGGCCTAGTCGTAACTAAAAGTTCTTGAAAATTTCAGTTCACAATAATGTTCCTTTCATAAGATAGGGAATTCCAAAAAAATAAACATGAGATTCTGAAATCTTTCGTGGAATATGAATGATTTTTGGTAATTCAATATTTCATGAAGGAAATATTCTTTTGAGCTAAAGTTTTCAGGACGTTCTAGTTACACATAGGTCTATCTATGAGCAAAATACTGTCATTCATTCTTTTGTATAAATCATGCTGTCCGAACTCAAAAGTTATTTCTAAATTGAGAACATCATTGCAATTAAGAACACTTGAGAACTCTATGACTTCCTAGATTTAACTAGACTTCAATTAAAGTTGAACATAACTTAATATAGATATATAAGATCAGTTCTTTATTCTCATTTTAAAATCGTTTTGAAAATTCTATTTAATTTTGTCTAAATCTCAGCTTTGCCTAACATATGTGTCATTGATGATATTGAAATTATATTTTCAATAATAGAAATTGGTGATTTTGATTGGTTTTGTTTAGAACTTTTTACCTTGTCTAATGAAGATGCAGAATGAACTTTCGAATATCGTGGAGAAGGAGATGATTGTTTATCTATTCGTTCTTTTTGAGGTTCTTCCATCTTCGATGGTAGTGTAGAACTGGGACGATCTTTGACTGGAGAGTTGACACGTTGAGGTGTTGATTGTTTATCTATTCGTTCTTTTTGAGGTTCTTTCATCTTTGATGGTAGTGTAGAACTGGCTCGATCTTTGACTGAAGAGTTGATACGTTGAGGTGTTGATTGTTTCGATGTTGCCGATGGATATGTCTCAATCGGTTGCTGATTGACTGGTGATTCTTGTTTTTGTGTTTCAATGATGAGTTTCTCCGGAGTTTTGACACGTGATGGTTGTATTTTTGATGATGGTGTAGGTGTACGCTATTAGAGAAAAAGAAAATGTTTAATACAATTGAATAAATTTTTTCATTTAATATTTAACAAAAAATCAAAAAGAGATAACTTACTTGTTTTGTTGATATAGGTGGAATAGGAGATGATTTTTGTATTTCAGGTTCCGCAGTAAATCGATAATTAAGAGAATCAAAACCTTTCCATGTGACTAATGTTTCATTTGTTATTACTTCTTGTTTACGATTAATTTCTTCAATTTTTTTATCAAGTAATTCTACTTCAAGTTGTTTGTTTTTTCGACCAGAAGGTTTTGGTGATTCTTTCATATTTGTAGGTGTTGTTGTTGCTGTTGTTGATGTTGAATTTATTACCGACATATTTGGACGATAAGGTAACTTTTCATTCGAATGAGCACCAGTAATAGCTGGAAGTATTGGTGAAACTTGTCCTTCGCCGATTTTATCAGCATTTTCTTTGGCTAGTTTTCGTTTGACTAATAAAAGTGTTGCTAAATTTGATGCTGCAGGATTCGCTGTTGATGGCTCCATAATTATTGTTTGACGTTCAAATATTTTATATTTCTTCTTCTTTTTAACACGGTGAATATGTGTTTGATGAACATAACAACTAGGTTTTTTTTTATTGCATTTTATTTTTATAGATTCATTTAGAAAGAGAAAGAAAAGGAAGAGATAGTTAAATAAAAAAAAAAAAAAAAAGAAAAAGAAAAGAAAAACGGGAAAATGACAAATGTAACTTTGACAACGGCAGTTTGTTTTTTTTCTTGTATTAGTTAACATCGGAAATAATAGATGTACGTGAGATTTCTAAATATTTTGCTCGTATTTGAAAAATTTTACATTTAAGTTTTTCTTCTAAATCATTAAAAATTTTCGATGCATTAAAATTTATAATATTACATTGAGATAATTTATTAAGAAGATTTTCACATACTAATTGATCGTTCATATAAAAAAATTCACGATACCATATACATAAAATATCAAGAATAGATGAAATAGTTAAACGTAAACCATTTTCTTGTTCAATTAAATTTATACCATTCGAATAGGTATGAATACAATTAAATTTCGATATATAAAGTAAAATAAATGTACGACATGCTGTTAAAATAAAATTTATTTCAAAACGACGAGCTGAAATTAAAAACAAAAAAAAATTTATGTTTTGGAAATTCCTCAAATTTTAATTACACAGTCAGGATCGACTGAAAGTGTTCGTTATTGGGAAATTTTCAGTTTGTTTTTTTGCAACATAACCACTGGTCCATAAAGAATAAGTCTCTCAGTATTTTGACTATAAATTTTCTTTTTCTTTTCAACTTTGAGACAAGCAAAAGATGTACCGTCAAATTCTCTATAAAAAAAACTTTATCAATCTAATTTCTGTAGAAGGATAAGTATCGATTTTCTTCTCTTTGAGACATTCGAAAAACTTCAACTATTCTAACCTGTAGTTTTCAGAGTTCTTGAACAAAAACGTCGAATAATAAAGAGTAAATAGCATCTTTTGAGATCGGATGTTTTTTTTTATTTTAATGAGAAATAGCTGCTGTATCAAATTAAGCAGCCAAAGTTTATCAAATAGCTTTTTGTGTAAATTTAACTTACAAAAAAACAAAAATAAAAAAATAAAAGACAAGAGATTTTGGTTATTTTGAATTGAATTTTTCGGAATGTTGGATTTTTTAATGATAACTTTGATTTGAACAAACTTTAAATGGCATAACGAGAACGAGCTCATTTCAAGATACTCAAAAAACCTCTTTACTTTTTCATGTTAAATATTCTTTGTTTAATTTTACTCTTTATCTTTCTATAGAAATTATTTGGTAACGTTTTTGTTGAAAATATAACGGCAGATCTTTTAGAAAAATAATCAGGCCTCAAAGTTGAAAAGAAGAAAAAAATATAATCAAAATATTCAGAGTGCAATTCTTTATGGGCCATTCGTTATAACTTTTCAATTGCAATTGCTTGTTAGTTGCCCACATTGCACTTTTTCTTCTTTTGAAATTTAATTTTTTTTTTTTTGTGTCAGAAGTAAATCAGTACGTGTTGACATGTTTTAATGTTGTTATAGCTGTTAACATATATACGACGGGCTGTTACATTCAGCATTATTGCTATTGTCTAATATTAGTTTTTTTTTCTTTTAAATATGCAAGGTTATTTCGTTCTATTTCTGTGTCGCATAATTGTTTATCATAACTTAATTTACAAAGCGTCATTTTTTTTCTCATTCCGTACGTGGGTGATAGAAATATTGCTTGACGTTACCAAGTTTTTCGATAACAGTTACACCCTGTGACCATGAATTACGGAAATTAATTTTAGTTTGTTAAGACATATTTATCTAAACTATTAAATGTATTATTGACGAAGTTTCATTATATGTATATCGATTCTATGAGTAAAACCAATCAGAGTATTGAAGAGAAAGAGAAGAAAATAAAATCAATTTAATATTAATTTATTGAGTCTTAAATGAAATTTGCTAGATTGAGTAGAAGCAAGTCATTTTATTAAGTTATGTTAGATATAGAAAGATGCATAACACGAATACTTTGCGCGCGCGCACACGTAATTTACATTCAATATAAGGTTTTATGTGAGTTTTATACAAATTTTAAGAAATATTCGAGAAAATTCTAGAATTTTCTTCGTGAACGGTTATATATCTACTTTAGAAGCAGTACAAGAGAAATCTGAACCATTCTTTAATTACACTTCTTTTGGAAATTTTATAGCATAATCTAGAACACGTTCGTTGAAGAGCGTCATCTTTTTATTACATGAAGAACAAAAACGTTGCTGACAAGAATTTTCGATTTCTAACTTATTCATTGTGAAATCATATATATTATCTCAAAGTAAATTCTAGAAAGTTTTTTCTTTTTACAGACAGCACCATATAAGTGCATCTATCCAGTTATCAGTTAATTCTTTATTGTTTCATTCCAAGAGATTACATACTAATTTTTATAAATTATGTTATGCAGAAAAACATTATAAAACATATGTAGCATTTTTGCTACTATGAGACTCAATGTATTAAGTAACAAATATTAATTTAATCATACGAATAATGAACAACTTAACTGTAATTTCAAAAGATATTGTCAAAGAGAAATCTAATATAATTGATTTTCAACAAAGATATTCCTGTGTATCATCTCAAAAGTAAACGAGAAGTATAATACATCTAAAGTCTTAATTTATTTTAGCATTGTTATTGTTCAAAATATAAATTATGATTATATTATACATGATTCATATACGTCACGTATTGCATATAAAAATAGTTGCAGATTCTAGATCTATGCAAAAAAAGCAAGGTCATTTGTGTTGTGGAACCTCTAGCCAGTTAAGAGAAATATAGAATGTGTGACTCTTTTAATGACTGTAACCAAAGTCCAATTACGGCCGCGAACTTTTAAGAAAAATTAGAAACGATCACGATCGTGACCGTGATAACCGCGAATTATGGCGATTACATCAGGCTTTATAGTGACGAACAAAAGAGCAGTTGTATTTATAAGTTTTCTTCTCGATGGTAATACCTAGGAAGTATTTGAAAGTACATTTGAATACCCGAAAAGATCTTCTATCAAGATTGGTGAACCTAAAAACTCCAATAAAACTGCTTGGATTAGTATATCTGGATAATCAAGACTCACACAAGCAGTTTTCTGGTATTCATTTGAAGCTTTTTGGAAATGGCATTATTTGATAGAGCTAAATAAGATGTCTCAACCCTCTCCATGACGTTCCTTCATTGAATTGCATTCAATTTATAGAAGACCTCAAAGCATCAAACATGGCGAAACAATTGAAATTTTTTATAACAACAAAAGAAAAATGCTGGTGGAGTCTTTCGTAAATAAAATGCAGTTCAATAAAAAAAACTCAAATAAAGCCATTTCCAAAACGCTTCAAATGGATGCCAGAAAACTGATTTTGGGGTGGTGGTTTGGTTTTTCACATGTTCTCATCCAAGCAGTTTTCTTGAGGTTTTGAGGTTCATCAATCCTAACAGAGGATCTTTTCAGCTACTCAAATGTTTGTTTTTCAGATTCTTACTAGCTATTACTATCGAGAAGAAAACTCAAAAATACATCTGCTCTAAACTTATGTCCGTTGCTATAGATAGAACATTGTTGCTCATATTACAAAGATTGTTATTGTGCACGAAACCAAAAATAAGCGTTCAGTATTCAGTATAAGGAAGTGCTCATATAGAAAGATTTTTGAAGAAAAAAAAACCTCATATATTAATCTATTGATAACATACCAAGGATAAGTAATCCAGTTACATTTTGATAAGTAATTGTACATTGAAATTGTGGATATAAAAATTGAAGTAATTCAATCATATCATTTGATAATACATCAACAATTTCAATTGAATTAATATTTTCATCTTGAAAATATAATTGAAATACTTTTGATACAGATGATAAGACACTTTTATCAACATAAAATTCTTTTCCTAGAAGGAAAAAAGTTTTTTTCCAAAAAAAATTCATTTTTTTGTCATAGAATACCTTCAACAATAAGTATTAAATCACTGAAAGGATGTAATTGATAGAAAAATTCTTCTGCTAAATGTCTATTATGATTTTGTTGTGTAATTTGAATATCCATATCCATATTACTAGTTGTAGTTATCATTTTATTAATTGAATCTGTTTGTGATATTTTGAGCCGTTTTAAAGGTTGTATTGATGTTTTTCGTATAAATTTTTTTTTATCTGAACTTGCTTTTGAATAATCATTATTTATAATTAATTCATTCGCTTTCGTATATTCGGATAATAATAATTTATTGTTATTATTAGTAGCAGTAGATGTAGAGATCATTATATTTAATGAATAGAATGAAGAATAAAAAGAAGAATTATTAGATGAATAAAAATGAAGAATGAAAAATTTAAAAGCATAAGCGCCAATAATAATAAAATATTGAATTTTTTTTTCATGCGTTTTCTTCGATCGCTTGGTGAGAAGAGGAGATGAAGACGCTCAATATCGGCGACTATTCCTCCTGACTCATGTTGTCGTTAAAAATAATTTTTTTGTCTCAGTCATGAAGACTATTTCAATATATTTAAATCAAAATAATAATGGAATTAATCAATCGATAACAACAAAAACTTTACATAGAAATTTTAAATATTATCAAAATTATGATCTAGCTGCTGGTGATATTAATAGAAATGCGACTATATCTCAAATCGAACATGAACGAAATATATGTGAAGAAGAATTATATAGATTACGTTATGGAATTGAAAATTTATTAGCTAATAAAGAACAGCGTGATTTTAAAATACGACAACAAAAAAATTTAACGAATATAAAATATCCATTTCGGACAACGACGACTAATATAAACAATTTAAATAGTATATTTCTAGACAATTTGATAAAAAAAAAACTTTTATTTTTTTTTCAAAAATTATTTTAGATAAAATTACCAGTTGGATAGACCGATGTACTCCTTGTTGTCGTCGTTGGAGACGAAATAGACGTCATAATAATATTATTAATCCCAATGGGTATTCTCGTCGTCAGATTTATAATGATCAAAATTATGATAATGCTTCACATAGAACTTCAAAATCTTCACAACTTTATAGGTCTAATGTTGATTTATAAAAGAAAAGATACTCAATAACATGTGAATATTAATTTTCTTTGTTTTTTTCAGTGATTCATTTATTTCTACATCACCATCAATATCATCACGTTATACTGATCCGAATAGACGTCAAAAAAAGCGTAGTTTAAAACGAAGTATTCGTAAATTAATAAATCGTATGACACCTAATAAAATGAATGTTTCAAATCTATTAAAATCGAATAATATTAATGATCCTCTATACAATTCATTAATTCTTAAAATACTTGAAGCAAAAGCATTAGATTGTCTTTGTACCGGATATTCAAAAGAAAATACACGAAAACAAATTTCAAAAGCATTAAATGAAATGAATCAAAGGTTTATTTAAAGAAAAATCATTGCTATAAGTTTGTTTTTTTTCTACAAATATTCTTTTATTTATTTAAATAGAATTGGTGAACAACAATTGAATTCTATAAGTGCTATATCATCACCTTCTAGTAGTAAATCATCAATATTAACTTATGATAAATTTCCTTCCTCTCCATTTAATACAACACAACCATCGAATGAAGAAATAAGTTCTCTATCATCATCAACTGATACTGACAAACAAAAAATTAAAAGTATAAGAAAAGGTCTTTCTAAGGGCGACCATAAGGGTTTGACTACACACAACAAAATATAGGTAGGATTGTAGAGAAAGACTTCCTTCATCCCATAGTGGAGTCTACGAAAATTAGTCATCACGAGAATTGGTCGATGCAAAAAATAGTCGAGAAATTTATAAGAAAAGAACAAAAAACTTTCAACTGTATGAAAAATAAAAGAATATCTGTTCATAAATTATCTGTAGCCCTTCTAAATTTTGTGGTAGTACCGTGTCAAAATAGAAATAAAGAGTAAGTTTGGGTCTGCTTGCACTCTCCCCTACACACCCAAACCATAGATTCACAAGAAATCGAAAGTTTTCCGATCTAACTTTCTTCAGATCTCATAATCCTTTTAGACTCTTTACTTATTTTAGTCCTTCTAATCCTTTCAGTCTCTCGGATCTCTTTAGTTCGTGTGAGGGTGAGAGTGAAGGTGACTTTCGAAATGATAGCAAATGCAAAGTTATGATTGAGATTGTGAATGTATGCCAGAGGTCGAAACGGGTCGCTCGTCCCGGCTCAATGAAACTTTTTGGCGAACCAAGTTACCCAGACCATTGGGCCGGGCGTGCCATGCTTTTTGTCAGGCCAGACCAGCCCAACGCTTCGTTTACTTTTTTTCAACTTTTTAGTAAACTATATGCTCATTTTAAGAACTCGAAATTATCATGAATGTTTTATGATAGAAAAAGTATCTAAGCTTTAATCCAATGACTTGAAAAATAAATAGATGCCATTTTGAATGATGAAACAAAAACTCATTTTTAGTGTATTTCCAAGTTCATTGAGTAAAGTGGCCGTGTTCGTCAATTAAAATCTGTTATTTTGATTCAAAATTACAGTCGCTCTATTTCTTTCGTTAAAATGTTGCTTACAGTCGAATAAATTTGAAGTACGTCAAAACTAATGTTCATTTCTTCACCAACAATACAGTATTTTCCGTGTTTTTGATATAAAACTCGTGATTTTTTATTTTTGAAGTCTCTGGAATGTATGACTAATACAGTCAACTCGAATAATTGCTTAACTCAGTCAATATTTCTCGTCTACTTGCGAATTTCTATGTTGCAAAAATGGTATTAATTAACAAGCGGAAATAATTCGTAGAAAAATGTGCTGAAAATAAGCCGTCACCAAGCATTGGAGCTTTAAACAACACTTTATCTAATCCTTCACTTTTGATTAAGCAGTGAATTCATAGCAAGTTTAGCACTTTCTGAAAAAAGGGTAATTCTATGGATTTTGTGCAGGATTCCATGGAAAATTGTTCGCATGATGTTGATGATGTTGTGAATTAGAGCACAGTAGAACATAGTCTATTAGCAGGCCGAAAAAGTTCTAAACAATTAAATTAGGAGGCTCATCTTCAAACGTTAGGTATCAATAAATTTTTTTTTGTTCACTAATCACTTTTGATCACTAGCAAGCTCACTGTATGACCAAAATAGAAAAAAACCTCTACTGAGAAATGCGGTGAATTTTCCACGAGTGTAACTCAATTAAGATATGATACCACAGAGGATATCGCGCTATGTAGAATGAGCATTATGGAGTTCTAAAACATTGGATATTTTTGTTTGTTTTACTTAAGAACCAATTCAATTTCTTGTATATTAATGTTATTTTTAGTTTCAGAGTCTAAGCTAATTAAACTCAAAATAAGGTCGGATATTTGCTCGTCAGTACATAAGCAACCACTGTAGTGATCTATAAATTTTATTGAAGAAATAAATGTGTAAAAAAAAGTTTCGTTCGAATCCGTGCCAGGCTGGGCTGAGCTGAGCAAAACTTGAGTTGGGCCGGACGGACCTAAATAACTTCCAGACCACATCGAGCCAAGCCGAACCATAAAAATATGGCTCGTTTCGAGCCTTGGTGTATGCTTGTAAAAAATGTTATAAACAGACTGAGTGGGCTAAAGACATTAAAAGGACTAAAAGCAGTAAAGGGACTAGAAAGGCTAAAACAAGTAAAGGGATTATGAGATGTGAAGAAAGTTCGACCAAAAAATTTTCAATTTCTTGTAAATACCTCACCCACACTCTGAAAATCTATGGATCTAACAATTTTAATTTTGAAAAAAGAATTCGAGTTCATATGCTGCATGTAAACAGAGAAACATACTCTCCTTTGTAGCGATTCGCAGTTGTCTAACACAGTCTTCCATCTTTTTTTTGTATTGGTTTAGCTTATTCTTCTGAGCTAAAGCTTTTATTCTTTTATTATAAGTTTCTCGATCATTTTTCGCTTTTTCCTAATACTGTATGTGTTATCAAATTCTACTACATACCATTGACATATCAATGGTATGTAGTAGAATTTGATAATGCATACACTAGTAGATAGAGAAACTCCTTCTCTAGAAATCAGCATATATTCCTCTCTGTAGTCAAAAATCATCGAAAAACTTATAATCGCCTTTCTATCAATTTATTTCATTTTATATATAATAGGCTCATTGAAATTAAATGAAAACATAAAATTACCAAAGAAAAAATCCAAAGTGTAAGTCATTAATCAATATATCTAATAATTATTAGACGACAAATTTATTTTTTTAGAACTATTGTTAGCGATAAAACATCACAATCAAGTAAAATATTTTTCAATAAATAAAATCGATTATTTTTTTTTGTTCTTGTGAAGAAAATTCCAAAAAAACGAAAAGACCATCTTCAAAACATAGAAAAAAAAATAAACAAAGTTCAAAACAAAAACGTAAACCAACTAATACAGCAAAAAAACGAAGCAAATCTCAAACTTCAAATAAAAAACGAAACAAATCTCGAACGTCAGATAGAAAACGAAATTCATCTAAATTAAAAAAAGTAAACATTGACAAAAACGATTTTCAATAATTTCATATTAATATAATATTAAATTTATATTCATAGTAGAAAGGTTCATCAAAATCTTCATCAAGAAGTGGAAGTAACAAAAAACGACGTAAGTTTTTTTGTTTGTTTTCTTGTTACAAAACATCAATTAATAAAATTGTTTATCTCAATTTAGAAACAAAAACTAAACGACATAGTAAACAGAAACAAACAAAACCAAAATCAAATAATCAGATGAATGATCATGAAACAGTTATGTTACCAATATTCATGTATCCTCAATCATATCAAGAAGTATATCAACATCGACAAAGACTATTAAAACTTTTGCTTTCATCGACATAACATATATGTCTGTCTTTTTCCTAAAACAAATTGTAAGTAATCTATCAAATTTTTAAATATCATGTAATCATTTCTATTTCACCGGACACTATTACTTCACAATTGTAAACCATTCTATATTGTCCATATTTGTCTGTTGATAAAAAACAAAAAGAATGTGTCAAAGTGAACAAGTCTAAGATATTTGTAACGGGTGATCCACAATGAATCGAGCTAATTGTAAATGCAAATTTTTAAATCCTTTATTATTCATATAAAATATTCACCTAATATATCAAAAGATGAAGAATTTCAAGCTGTACAAAATTGTTTACTTCACTTTTACAAAAAGCTCTTTTTTTTTAAGTGCGAAGTGACCAATACACTGAGATACACTGTAAATCTCTGCTGTGGAACTTAAAATGAACGAAAAAAGTGTGGCATCGCTACAGAAAAATAATCTTTCAGTTATATTTCAAAACTTTAAAACGACAATTTCATGTAATAATTCAAGACACAATAATGAAAAAAAAAATTTTATATCCATGTTGGAACTTACTCGGTTTTTTATGAATTTTGGCAAAAACATGTTATACTGTGGTTCATCATCTACATAATCTTATAGAGAACAAAATTCTGCATTTTTTAATGTCCAGATAAGGACTTTACAACTGAACTTTAACTTCAAAGAAAAAATACTTCGTTATTTAAAAGATCATCATGAAGGATATTGTCAAGAAATTTTTAACTCTCCAGTAAAACTCGAGTATTCGAAAGTGGATCAACCACACACAGAATAAATTTCTCTATCTTTTGATATAAACCTTCAAGATCCTCTATACTATTTATAACACACGAGCAACGATACGTTGTATTTAGAATATACAGGATGTATGAATGTTTGGACTGTCATGCAAAAGCAAAATATGCGTGTTAAAAGTGAAGTTCTTAGTTTTGTAAATTTTGTATGACTTTAAATGAGAGGAAAATTACATATATATTTAGTCCTATTCATTATGGCCCACCCGTTAAATGCTATTTTTCGTCAAAAAGCTCGACTTTTGTCAATAAGCATATGAACATGTTGCCTAGTATACGAATTTATAAGAGTAGTTTTGATTCTCGAAGATTTTTGGGCGCTTTATGAATGATCTTTGAAACTATGTAGATAAATAATGATGTCTAGCGCAAGTATTAAAATTTTTTGTAGAATTAGATTTGTAAAATAAATTAAATATTTTTCAGAGGTAATCAAATCTTGTGCATCCTAGAGACACATACTTTTGAAATCTATAATGGCATGAAAGTGTAGGTGTAGATATTCTCTTCACTCACACCGATAATATCTCACGCACTCTGTCGAAGTTAGATTTTTGAGGGAGAACTTTTGATATGCCGTTATTCTTTCTTCTCGTATATTGTATAGTACAATAATTTATTAAACTGTAATACAAGTTACAACTACATAGAAATATATAAACTATTTAAAGTATTTGAAATTTCAATGAATTCTTTCTTTGCAACTGAAATAACGATTCAAAATTGTCTCAGCTTTTTCATATTTATTTAAAAATCTTAATAAATTTCGACATGATTTTAATGCTTATATAAAAATGATCGGAATCGAGAAGGAATTGATTTTTTCCGTATAATTACTTTTGATGATGACTAATTTTTCGTCAATAAATAGATGCTTAGATTTTTTTCTCTGGCAATAACAAAAATAAACTAAATGATCATTTGTCCTTAGTTTGATTGCATGGCAACAGAAGGATCTAATTATTGTTATAATATATGTTGTGAGTTTCCTATTCGATCTCGTGTAAAGTATATTAATGTATCGAATAAAAACTGACAATTATATCATTAGAAATTTAACACACTAATATCATGTCCGTTATTATTATCTACTACTAAACAAATCGCTATTTGTTCGTATCATAGGAAAAAGAAATGAGACTATTTTTTCATACTAGACTTTAATGACTCTGTCATGTGGTGTCGATCTCTGTAAAGGATTGTTTAATCGACAATTAGGGTAGCATATGATGCGTAGGTAGAAAGCTTTTTTTTTCATGCCTATATATTGCTCTTCAATATCCATTTACTGTGATAGAATTTTCATTATTCGATCAATAATTATTTGGTGGGTATGATTTATTTTGTGTTTATTAAATATGAACTGTTTTTCTTTTCTTTTCTATAGAATAATTTTTCCATAATGCGTTTATTATCAATTTTCTCCCTCTTCATCTTTTGTTTATCTTTATTGATGATTAATGGTGAGGTTGACTACAATGTTGACTCAGGTCTCAATGGATGTGAAGACGCTTGTAGAGCAGCATGCTTAGCACATTGTCCTAAAGGAGGATGTGAACACCCTGGTCCAACTTATTCTTGGTCATCAGGTATATGTTATGGTTGTAATTGTCCTGTTTTTCATCCGGATGATGAACATTGGTAATAAACAAAAAAACAAATTAAGAACGAATGGTGATGGAAATCTTCTTTTTTTTTTTTGTCCCTTAATTTTAACATTTTTAATGAATTATTTATAAAAGATAAAGAAAAATTGTTGTATTCATTTTATCTTATGAAGAACGAACTATAAATAAAATTATAAATACAACGATGAATATGACTAAAAATAGATAAATAAATGTAAAGAAAAAAATGCCGACACAATATTTCTTTTTTTCTTTGATATTGTTTTTCTTCTATAAACTAAATTTGGAAATTTTGTTTTTTTCATATTATTACATGATATAATTAGTTCTTTTAAATATTGAAAAGCAATAGAATCAATTCATATACATTTATCAACATATTTTGTTTTCATCATGCAATGATGTTAAATATTTGATTTTATCTTTATTGATGAATTCTTCTGTTTTATTTGATAATAATCATAAGAAATTTAGATCTTCTTGTCGAATTATCTTTTCTGACATAATGTGATAATTTTATCTTATTTGAATTTATAAATGAATAGCAGAACTACTAGTTGTCAGAGTTGATTGATTGAATGATACGTAATCATGATTTAATCTTGTAATGATAAAAGAAAATTCATTCATAAATATTGACAAGAATATTTATTAATAACATTCTTTTTTGAAAAATAGATTATACTATTTTTTTGTTCTTTGGTATTCATCATTAAACTCAAAAAAAAAAAATAAAAATAACTTCTTAATGCACGTAACATTAAAAATAAAATGACATTTTTGAAAATGTCAAAAGAAATCTTTGACAAATGTTTTAATCAACAATCGTAATCATTTACCTCAATGATTATTTTATTACATAATTAATATAATGTCATAACTGTCAGTTGGCGAAGAAATTCTTCATCTTTTTTTCTTATACATTTAGATAATTAATTGAACAATGTCATAAAAAATAGATTTGATGAAAATAATATTTTTTATCATTTAATCTGTAATAAAGAATTTTCCTTTCTTTTCTTTATTTGTTCTTCGTTGAAAAGAAAATTTATTTTGTTGATTAGAATGTCGATCGAATAATATGCCATTGAAAAATGAACAATAAAGTAATGGTCTAAGCATCGATCATATTAATTATGTACGAACAAAAAAAAAATACTTCTCTCTTTATCTATTATTATATTCTAGTTCCATTTTCTTTATATTATGGCTATTTATGCAAACAAAAAATATCTGCTATTAAAGTATAAAAGATTTCTACTTTAGTGCTTCATCTTCTTTTCTCTTTCTTTCTCTCTCTCTCTCTCTCTATTCTTTTTATATTTGGTCTAGATGAAGTCTTCATCATTCAATTTCCCTTATCTTACACATCAATGTGTTGCCAGCTCTTTACTTTCCTCAAAAAGATACATGCTTGGTTTAGTTTTTTATGAATTATTCTGATTGTTTCTTGAAGAAAACTATTCGTAAAATAATTTAATTATATATATATATATACATATATATATGAAATATTGGTAAAAGATGAATTGCATTTTGATGCGTATTATCTCAATCATATCTAAGCTTGTAGATCATAGTAGAAAAATCCACCTGTTTGTAGAATAACTTATACAATAAGTAAAATGTGCATTTCAAATGGAAGGAAGTATGCCTTGATTGTCTTTGCCTAGATAGTAAAATGATGATAGTTCTTTCTAAGGCTGCATGATGTTTCCGGTGTGAATTTCGTTCTTTTCTTGTCGGCTTCTTTTTCTCTCCTTCTCGTTTATTATCGAGTCGAGAATCGGCAGTAGTAATGCAACATACTCATCAAGTGGTTTATCAACAATGTGTGTTTACCCACTTGTTTTCAATGCGTTGTCTTTTTCTCGAGCAAGATAGACACCAACACAAATAGTTATATGCATGTAAAGTATTTCTTTCAATCTCGGCTAACGATCACGAACATCATTTAAAGATAGTTGTTGACTGAAAATAGAATAAGGAAACATGCACACACACACATACATACACATATCTACGCATCGCGTTCACTTGGCGTCGACTAATAAGTTTATAGAAATAGTGAAGGAAGGCAACTAATATCACAAATGAGCTGTAATCAAATAATGATTGATTTTCCTAGGGACTCTACATCATACAAGTCTTTTATTTATTTCATGCGAATTATTTCTTTTTTTTTCTTCCTCTTATCGTAACAAGTATGTATCTATATATATGTCAAAAATAGAAACTCTAGTTGGATATTTAAAATTTTTGATTACATTCGTCCGTTACCGATTTTTTACGCTAAACTTAATTATCTTATAGTCTGTTATGAAAGAGAGGAAAAAAAAGGAACAGAGTACTATTAAGTCTACTGTCTATACACATTACTGTCTTTTTCTTTTCCTTATTTTTCATTGTACTAATCGCTATTCGATCAAGTTTTTTCTGCATCTTAGGCAATTATATCATAAACAAGTCTGTCTGTCTGTATGTCTTTTTTGCACTTATACGCATCATAACATATTAAGATACACCTATTTCTTAGCATGTAGAAAAACAAAAACGAAACGGTGTCTCTTGAGAAATCATGTAGATTCATAGATAAAAAAATGGATATATAATGGATGAAAGCGCAAAATAAAAGGAGAGTAAGAGAGAGAGAGAGAGAAAAAAGTAGAACAGTAGTATAACATGCTTATAGACACATACCACAGTGAAGAAAAACATTAATTCACAGCGGCAGCGGAAGAAATCTTAGTTGGAAACTCATTAAGTACTAATGATAAATGCGAAGCATCTCAGAAAAAAAAGTGTAATAATTACAATAGCAAATTCTTTTCTTTTCTTTTTTTTTTTTCTTTTTCTTCTTGTAGATTTCATTCTGTTGTATACATATATATCTTTCCCCTCATTTCGTGCTTTTTTTTTTTGTTTGCTCGTTTAATTTTCTTTATTCGTAATTTAGAATAAATTTTAATAGATAAAAATTTGAATTATTGATATTAATCAAATACAATCCAAATATTATTTTCAATCATCATGTTCCATTGGTGGATCTTGGAAGCATTGGAAAAGTAAGTCTCTGTTAATTCACACTTGCGTGATACAATCATCATTACTTGAGAAATAATAATGAACGATAGGAAAAGAAAAAGCGAAGAACTATATATATATGTATATATAATAAATTTAATTAGATTCAAAGTGAATCATGGGAATTATTTTCATTTAAAATTGTTTTTTTCTCTGTCATAATAAAATATATTCTGATTGATTATCTTATTTTTTTATATGTATAAATTATTTCACAATAGAATTCTGTTTTTTTGCTTTACATTTTTTAAGAAACCAGAATAGAACTTAGAAATCGAACATTTTCTATACTTTATAGTCATAAAATTGTTGATCGATTTCTGTTTGACAAACAAAATTGATGGATAACATGCATTACTTAAGTAGTATTTCTATAATATTCTAATCTGGATCAATAAGTCGGATTATAAACACAATATAAAACAATAGAATCACTATCTATAATCTACTTGCATAAATGAAGAAAAGACTTCAAAAGAGAAAAGAAAAAGAGTAGAACAAATTAATCTATCATGATTTCGAATATAATTAGAATTACTAATTAAACTATATATTACATCATGGAATTCTATTTAAATATATTATTCAAATGTATTCATTTGTTAAATCCTACAAATTCTTATTTGACATTTTAAATAATAATAATTTGAAGAAAGAAAATCGAAAAGGTTAAAATATATTGCATGATTTTTAATGATTCTTAACCTATATTTAATTACGATACAATGAAAGACATAAGAAAAGTTTTTGATCATATATACAATTCTTGTATTAATAACAAAACAAGCATTGCTAAATTGTATTTGATTATTGAGATAATCAATTGTTATACATAATACAGAAAATAAATATGATTTTGTGTTTGACTTGTCATAAGATAGAACATACAGAGAAAAAAAACAGACGTATTTAGTTTACTTATGACTCTAAAAATGACTAACAAAAAGGAAAGTATAAAGCAGTGAATATCATGAATGATGTAAACTTTCTTTAGTTCTTATTAAATCTGATTAGTGATATAAGACCAAATGTTTTATATGAAATATCATCAATAAATCAGATATCATTATATAATATCGATGGTAAAAGAAAAGAAAATATTCAATCGAGGTTCTATCTCATGTTCTATTAAGCAGTGGTTTATTAAGAATATAAATAAATAATTTTTTCAAGGCACTCCATAGAGACACATATGGAGTGATTGTATACACATTTTTGTATTTTTGACTTTTCAGCGCTGTATCTTTGCCAATTGAAAAGATAGAAGAAAACAATTTTTTTCACAAACAAGATAAACCAAACATTTTTCTTTCGTTTACTGTTTGTTATCGAGAACAGACTCTACGTTGGTTTTTCCAAGAATTCCACTACCATTATATAATTGCCCTTAATTTGGGTGAATGAATAATACTATCTATGCTAGTTGGATTTAATAAAAATCAAATTTTCGAGTATATCTCGATATTTTCATGTCTTACTCTCGCTACTAAAAATGTTCAGCTCAACATGTCCTACAAGACTTTATTAGTTTTGCTGGTTCAATACAAGTGAACAACTTGTTTTCAATCAAAATCCAAGATTTTCATTGACTCCTGAGATTTTCGGCAATAACAATCGATTTTATTCTTTTGTGTTTAGTAGAGCATTATTTTTTTATTCTATTGTATGACGAAAACATCTTAGTGAGTCTTCCTCTTGACTTTCAAGTATACTAAGTAGGATATCACAACTAGTATACTTGTGCATCTCTATATAGACCCATTGGAATGTTTTCGTCATATATAGAATTGTACAACAATCTCAGAGGAGTTAAAATCGATTGTTGTTCTCAAAAATTCCTGGAGCCAGCAAAAACCTTAGATTTCGGTCGAAAACAAATAGTTCACTTATATCGAAGCGAAAAAACTAGTATAGTCTTGTAGAACATGGTAAACTGAACACTTTTAGTAACGAGAGTGAATCGTGAAAATTTGATTTTACTAGCCACAACTAGCATAACTGGTATTATACATTCATCTCAATCGAGGGTGAATATATAATAATAGTAAGACTCTCAGAAAAACCGGCGTTTTGAGTAACCGTGTTCGTGAAGAAAATTATTTTTCTATCTTTTAAAATGGCAAGGATACAGAACTTGAAAGTTAAAAAAAATACAAAAAAGTGTATAAATTCGTTCGACGTATCTCTATTTACCTTTTAATCATTATAATTTCTCTTACCTGTCTTTTGATATAGACAAACGTTTGTTTTTGTTTTAGCACGGCTGTTTTCCTCTTTGATTTTGCTGCCAGGGCAGCTCATCATGGACATGATGCTGCTTATGATGATGATTTCTATGATCGTTTATCTCGTCGTTATTCTGTTATTCTTCTTGTCATATTTACCGTACTTGTATCAACAAAACAATATGTTGGTGAACCAATAGCTTGTTTTTGTCCAGCACATTTTACAGGTACACATGTTGAATATACAAATAATATATGTTGGATATCAAATACATATTTTGTTTCATTTGATCGTCTTTTACCAAAACATCCAAATCCAAAAACTGAACAATATATTTATTTTTATCAATATGTACCATTTATTCTTATCGTACAAGCTTTACTTTTTTATATTCCATCACTTATATGGTCATCATTAAATTCTAAAAGTGGTTATGATCTAAGTATGCTTGTAACACATGCTCGTATTATTGATACATATACATCAGATATACGTGAAATATCAGTTCGTCATTTAGCACGTTTTATTGATAAAGCACTTGAATATCATAGACATAAACGTTTAGAATATTTTGAACAATTACGTTCCATAAAATGTTCATCATTATCATCAATATATTCATTTTTTTTATTAAATAATCATATAACAATGCGTGACAATCATTTAATGTGGTCTTTTTTATTTTCTAAACTACTTTATTTGCTCAATGCTTTTGGACAATTATATTTGCTCAATTTTTTTCTTGGCAATGATTATCATATGTATGGTTTTTCTGTAATAAAAGCTTTATTTACTGGTAATAATGAAAATTGGACAGTAACACCAAGATTTCCTCGAGTTACATGGTATGTTTAAATAGAACAAGAAAACAATCCTGTTATTTCTTTTTTTAAATCTTCTTTCCATGAAAAATAGTTCGTAAATTAAAATAAACTTAATATAATTTAATAATAACTAGATAGTGTGTTCCTAATTATTAATACCATATTGCAAATTCACTTTGAAAAGAAAATCTAATAAACAATTCAAAAATCATAAAAATTGTGTCAGAAAAAATAGACTTAAGAGTTATTTATATTTTTTCTTATTGTAAAAGAGAAAAAAAAAACAAGTTTAAATCAAAGATAAGACTAATCGGATTTTCTTCTAAATGCCACCCATCAAGATTAGTATAGACATATGAATGATTCTTCAATTATTTCTTTTTCTCTTTAGTCTTTACCGTACTAAAGTAAATGTAATCACTATCTAATTAACATCAATATGCTTTATTCATGAATTACATGTGGACTATGCACGTGCATAAAAAGTTGCCATATACAAGCTTATCTATTGTTCACAGCGGTCTCTTTTCTTTCATCTCTCTTTCTCAATCGTCTTTGCTAACATATACTAGTAAGATGATTGAGAAAGAGAGATGAAAGAAAAGGGCTCGTCTTTAACCAGCGTTTATTCAGATTTTCTCTTCCGGAATGGTGATTTAAAACTCTGGAAGAGTGAACATCTATTTTGGAGAGCATGGTCTTATAGTGTATAGCACAATAATCGCAAACTTTGGGAGGACCAATCCGATCGCCAAAGGAACGCTACCCTCTCAATTCTCACACTGAATAAAACACTGTCCTTAAACAACATATAAGCTACTATAAGAGGTATCTTATAAATTTTGGACATTAACGAAAATTACTTTATATGTAAACCAAGAGCAGTTTCTACCCAACTATATCTAATTAATCTTCGAGTACTTAGGATTATGTTTTAAATAATCATATTATCTGATGATACTATCTTTTTTTTTTAATAATAGTGATAAAAACAGAAGAAAAATGATAAATAAAATCTCTAAATCGGCAGGTATTTTTTAATAAGTTTTAATGAACTATGATTTCATCATATGTAACGTAATACAATTATACAAAGCGATATGTAGTATCCAGGATGTGGATGTGACTATCATCTTTACCTACACTCTTATTATCACGTTTCTTCCATTTATATCACTATTATCAAAAAGGATAATGACATCGAATCATATGTCATTTAAAACATCGTTCTAAGTATTCGAAATTTATATAGATATTGTTAGGTAGAGGATCACTATTTATTTACATATAAACTAATTTTCGTTGAGACTCAGAACTAATGAGACACCCTTTGTAGACACTTTTTAGGCATCTGTGTGGCTTACAAGCAATTCGCAAATAAGTCTCATCATTTTGTCTCTTTTAATTTTGTAAGAAAACGAAAATTTATTGAAGGATTCAAAATATTGAAAATTAAATTGTTTTTTTTTTCTAATTATATGCCAGATATATATTATTAAATTCTAAATAAAAAATAAGAAACTATTGTTTTATTTTAGGTGTAATTTTGCTGTACGAAATTTAGCCGATAATATTCATACATATACAGTTCAATGTAGTTTACCAATAAATTTATTTAATGAAAAAATTTTTTTAATCATATGGTTTTGGCTTTATTTTACAACTTTATGTACATTATTTGGTTTTCTTTATTGGATCAGTTCATTTTTTTTTCCAAAATTTTATAAATCACATATACAGCGTTATTTATCATCAATGAAACGTATTAATATTCATCATTTTCCTCAAACTCTATTTCAAGAACAACAATATCGTTATCTTCCATACCATTCTTATCCTCATCATCATCATCATCATCATTCAAGTTATCATCGTCGTCATTCATTTAGTCATTCACATTATGGTACAAGTAGTAGTCATTATGGTTCATTACATATGGGTCATCCTCATCATGGTCTTTTATCATCATTTACTGGTCGAACATTAAAACCAAATTTTGATTTAGTTCGTTTGTCACGTGTACATGATCAATTAAATCTTCCTATAACAACAACAGCAACAGAAAATAATGAAATAAATGCAACATCATCCGCTGATGATCAAACACCACCATCACCATCAACTCCACAACCAATACCGGTACCTCAAATGATACCATTTTCGACACCAAATGAGGAAGATCGTTTATTAACAAATTTTTTAACAGATTATCTTGGTCGAGATGGTATACTTGTTTTATATATTTTAAAAATGAATACAAATGAAGTTATAACAGGTGAAATTGTTACAGCTTTATTTGAATTATTTAAAGCAAGTATTCAGACTGATACAACAGAATAAATGTTCTATTGGTAGACGGTGTTTTTCTTTTTTTTTTTTTTTATTTATATTAATAATTGGATTTAAATTGAGTAAAATGTGATATCAATGTCTCTGAAAATAAACGACGTAGATTTGTATTATGATCAAGTAAATCTCGAATAATAGTTGTTTTTGTTGTCAAATGAACAAGATTAAAATCAGGAAAATATCTGTGAAAAAAAAAACAAAATGAAATCATTGAGAATAATATTTCAAGAAAAAAAAAATATTTCTTTTTTGTTTTTTTTACTCATTATTTTCTTCAATAGTATCAAATTTTTCAATGATTATATCAATATTTGAATTATTAAATAATAATGCTGAAAGAACTTTTAATGATTGAATTCGATTTAATAATGCATTTTGTTTTAAAATATTTAATAGAGCATAGAATATTATTGGTACAAGTTGATCATCACGTACAAGACTATCTATATGAATAAATATAAGGAAAGATCAGAATTGTTAATTATTCTTTATTTTACCATTTTGATCTTCATTTTCTAAGCTAATTCTTTTCATAAGTATATCATTTCTAAATATACATTCAATACCATCAGCTATTGGCCATAGAGTTTCATCTTTATCAATAAGTTCACTCCATTGATATGATGGTTTAATAATTAATGTATGTTTTAATAAAGAAGCAAGTTTAAGTGCTGGAAAACCAAGTACAAGACTATAAATAAGAACATTCGATTTGATACGATCACGAATATCATCAATTATATAACGAATATGATGTGGTGCAACACATAGAAAAACAATATCACAATGTTGAACAATATAAGCATTATTAAATTTACAAAATCCTACTCCATTTTGAATCATATCAGCTAGAAATATTTTTCTTATTGAATGGAAAAACAAAAATCTGTAATTCCATTTACATACTTAATAAATCAGCTTGTCGACTGGACTAAAGAAATAACAACAACAACAACAACACATACATAATTATTATTAAAGATTCGAAGAAAAATATATTCGTTAAAATGATAAGTTAATTGTTATTTCAATCATGTTAACTTTGAATACTTACAAGACATAACTCATCTGGATAAACATCTCCATATTTTAATAAAAATGTAGCAAGTAAATGTCCAATACGTCCAACACCAATAATACCAATTTTAAGACCCGGTTCTCGACATACTTCAGCCATTAGACGATGACTTCGTTTTTTGTCTGGTGTACCTTTTAATTTTTCACCTTCACGTCTAAGATATATTTGTTTAAATAAAACACAAAACGATTTAGTTTTTTTTTTTCTTTAATCATTTACTTAATACGATTAGCAAGTGAAACAAAATAACATGCATGAGCAATATGTGCTGCTGTTAATAAATTTGAACGACGACGTAATTGAATAAATAAATCATTATATTCACCAGGACATAAGTTTTTAAATTGAATACTTTCAAGTCCTGATATTAAATCACCTGTTGGTGGATCGAAAAGTGTTTTTAATGTTGATGATTGAAATAGATCCATTAAAAAAAAAATTAAAAATCTGTAAATTATTCGATAAAAGAAAAAAAAATCATTTCTTTTTCTTTTTGTTTTTTAGATAAATGAATAAAGAATTAATAAGAATATGTGAAAGTGAAATAAAAAAATTATATCACACAATGGAAAGAAATAGTTATAAAGTTACAAGTTAACATCTGACCAATCGGAACAAAAAAATATCATTTCGATCAATCAATATTGACTTGTTTAATAGCAGATGGTGATTGACAACGTTGATCAACTAGATAATCATTAGCATATGGAGCACCTTGCCAAACTTGACCATAATCTTGTGTACGTTTTATTTCTGGTAATGGACGACGATATTTATATGGATTACTTGATATTTGTCCTCGAAAACCTTCTGTTGGATGAAATAAATCCCACATACTTGCTGCTCGTTCAAGTTTTGCTGATGATGTCATTTCAAATTGTTTAGGTGGATATACTTTAGGTTTTTCTTCTTCAATAACAAATGCACCATGTCGCTATGAAATATTTAATTTAAAAACAAAACAAAAAAAGATATATATATATATACAAAAATATTAGAATTTAATTTATATACATACTCTTCCACGAAGAGGATAATTTGTGAAGTTTCGACTATTATATTGTTGTTCGAACGATACTTTTTCAACTAATGTTTGATCAACTGATTCAAGATTTTCAGATTTTAAATCAGTAATAGGTACTAATTTTAAATAAAATTTTTCGTTATTTACATTTCTAAATTTTAGTAAAATTTTCATTACCAATTCCTACTGTACGTATATGAAATGGATTAGCTGAATAACGTGTATTTTTCTTTGCATAAAGTCCTGTTTCTCCAGCAATACTAAACGCATTTCGATATGAACTTTCTTTTATTGTCATCCATTTATCTTGAATTTTTGCTCCTGGTCCATAAGATTCACCTGTTGGTTGTGACCAATCCCACCAACGTGATTCTTCATTTTTAACATTATCAGTTTTGATAATACCAAATGGAGCATTAAAATTTGTTGCATTTGAATAAATCATATCAACTTTACGTCCAGCATGTGGATTATTTCGTGCTTCTAATCCTTGTGCAGGTAATTCATTGAAATTCGGTTCTGTATAAAGTGGTGGTGGACGAGAATGACCATACCAAAATGGAATATTTTCACGTTCAGGAACTTCTTCTGATATTATTCGATAACTATTTGGACTAGATTTTCATTTAGAAAACGAATAAATATATGATTAAGAAAAAAAAAAAGACAAACTCAAGTAAAGTTTTACTTGAATTTTTCTGGAACTGCTTTTTTGTGAATGATGTCGGGATATGTGATGGTCGTCATTTTGATATACCGAATTCACTCCTAAGATAAAATTGTGTCTGTGTTTTTTTTAAAGCATTAAATTTTTTGTCAATGAAATCAATCTACCTACGGATCAATATCAATTCGCTTTTTATATTTTTTTCATCTTATATTCCAATGTCTTGTTTTATTATATAGAACGAAAATGTTTTTTTTCTCATACTTGTCAACCAAAAAAATGTAAAGTTCAACGGTTTCTGCTCGCAAACAGGTCTAATTTTCCCTTATCGTTTATTTTGTAGTCTGTTATGTAATATGAATATAGATGAATATTAAGAAAGATCATAGGCAGTGCAACATTTTAAATCTAGACTAGGCTCAGTAATCTTTATAAGATCACTACTGAAAAAGTATAATGGGGCGAAGGAGAGGCAAATCTTTTTATGTCATTCAGATGAAATACAGTTAGTGCGTTTTGTTTCCAACTCATATTTTAGAATGTACAAATCTGATACGATTCAGAAAACGTTCACAACTTCTGTGAAAAGATGTGCATTAAATAAATACGTCAACATTTATTTTTATTTAATTTCGACTCTCGAAAGAAGATTTTTTAGATCTACGTTACTGAAAAACAAAATACTGATGAAGCAACAGTGTTCACACAAGAAAAGGAATTATATTGTTGAAAATTTTCAACATCTTTTAGTTTATCTCACTTTAGTTTTCGATACTGTTCTTCTTCGCTAGTTTCATTGAAGTTACAACTTCAAGTCATTAGCAATGTTGGGCCCAATATTGAATCTATCCTCAAGAATGTTTTCTAAAACTGCTTCACTACGAACTTGTTACTATTTGCCGTCGAAGACGGTGAAAAATTTTAACGTTTGTATAAGAATTTCGATGCACTATATAAATCTATAAGTTTGACAGAATGAGAACCAAATGTTTGAGCTTACCCTAGCCTATGATATTTGAATCTATGATTGGTTTCAGTCTATCCAAGCCTCATGGCTAGAGTTCTTCGAGTTAGTTCCGGAGTCGACTGGCTCTACTTATGGTTCAGCTACCTATAGGACAGAAGTGATCTACAGAACATCAGAGATTGAAACAAGAGAAAATCTCATTCATTATTTTTATAAAAATTTTATAGACTAGAGTAAAATATCTATATACTGTTTCGGTTATAATATCTCTTATGAAATACATACAAGGTGTACTAATTCTATTTTTTATTTCATGATTTATATTAATAGGAAACAAACATACCTTTTTTTTCTCGCCCTATCTTAACACATTCAATAGTGCTGACATTTCAAATGTCTTCTACAGTTCGTTGTCATAGCAACCAAACATTATCAAAGTGCATTCGTGCGTTATCCAATTTATAGATATCTCTAATATATAATAAAAACCTTTTCAATTATTTAATTTTATATAAAAATATTAACTTTTAAAAAGCAACTTTTTTTTTAATTCAAAAAATTTTTCCTTATTTCTTATTCGTTATTCTCGTACCGTCTCTTTCTCTATATCTAGGTTAAGGTAAAGTGTCATCTTTATTAAATGATTAATCATATGTTGGAAAAAAAGAAATTTCTCGTCCATCTATATTTAATAACATTGAGTCATTTTATTATGTCGCAATGTTTCTATAGATTCTTATGCAATTGAATTTTGTATATAAAAGCAACGAAATCATTTGTTTATCATTCTTTTTAGATTTTTTCACAATTCAAATCTCATAATATTTGCACATACAATGACAAATCCAACAGAACTAATGCAATTGTATATTTTATTATCATATGAAAAGGTGTGTGTATATATGAAGAAAAAAAACACAATTAAATAAAATAATATTTTTATATTTTTGTTTTGTCAGTTACAACGTTCAACAATAAGCCAACATCGTCGACCGATAGAAGCTTCATTACATAATCGTTTGTTAGTTTGGCGTTTTTTAAAAAAAATTGAAAATGAACCAATAACTTGCGAACATGAACTTTTCATAAATAGTCATAATAATAATAATAATAATAGTTTCGATTATAACAATCCATGGATAATTGATTTCAATACAAATTGTGAAAATGATAATGGAATTGATATGGATATTGATTCTGATATAGTAAATGTTTTAGGCAATGATGAAATAAATAATAATTCTACATGTGAAACAATGAATATTGATCAAACATCAGATGTAACTGCATTATTAAAACGTGCGATCGGTTCTGAAAGAAGACAAAAGTCATCGACAGATAATTTTTATTTTCATGATAGTAATAATAATAATAATAATACAAATCTTGATCATATGTCAGAAACAAATACATTTGAAGAAACTGAGCAATTTTTTCATGATCTATGTAATGAATTAACAAATACGACAGCTTCAATTGTATCATCTTCAACAACAAATGTATTTAATTTTTCAACATCACATGAACAAACACTTATTCATTAGAAAAAGAAAAAAAAAGAACGTTTTTGTGTCTTCTTTTGTTTTAAAATTATAAGACAGTAGTTTATAACAAAAAAAAACAAACAAACAAAATCTTTTTTTTTTGTTCTTCTTCATTTTGTAAGATATCATTAGATTGTTTCTTTCTCATTGTTTTATTTTTCGTTTCCTCGATATAATAATCGTCTATCATAACACATCGATCAAGTTCTCTATTGTTCGAATGATTTTTGTGTTTAACTCCAATCCGGTCTGTCATTTTTCTCTTTTTATAATGATGCTGATTTCTTAGTTTATCAATGATATGAGTAAGCGATTTTAAAACGCGTTTATATGTTTAATTATTTGTTGCCTATTCGATCTTATTACTTCAGATGTTTTCTTGTTTCTGAGTGTTTTTATTTAAATAAAACAAAATAAAACTCAAGAGATAATGAATTTTTTCTTTGATATTACTTTTCACTGGTTTTTTATTTCTAAATACTCTTCCTTGTTTTTTTTTCATTTCACACACGTTGTATCGCGTGCAAACACACAATCATATTGATCTATCTATTGCAAACGTAAATGCTTTTTTTCTAAAGAAAAAAAAAAAAGAAATCTCGAAGGTTACACGACCGTCAGTTTTCATCAAGGAAAGTGGGAGAGGAAAAGACGAAGAATGTTGTTTTTTAATAAAATAGACAGCATCTTGAGTGCATATCACAGGAATATTTAAGCGGAAAAATGGTTTCTAACACAGTAGTCATTATATTATTTTTTTTTTATATATAGCAACACGGAATTACATTTTTTTTTGAAGAAGAAGAAAAAAAGGAAAAGAGAAGAGTAAACATTTACATTTAGTTAGCAAAATGGATGATAATAATTCTGGCACATCTTTGAATGATGATAATAATCAATTGATAGCAAAATCAATAGAAGATTCATCTGAATTTCTTTCAACTATTGATGATGAAGAAATTCGTCAAGTTCAAACAGCTTTTTCCAATATAATTGATGAAACATGTTCAAATAATCCAAATTCTAATAGAAATATATTTGAACATACATATATTACACAAGATAGTTTTGCTTTTTTTTTTCGTTCTATTATACCAACACAAGAAATAGTTCAACAAGATTTTGAACCTGAATCACAACAAAATTTATTTAAATATGAAGATCAAGAAGGTATAAAATATGCTTTTAAAGTTTTTGATCGTCGTACAAATCGTTTAATATATGAACAAATGCCAACTTATCATAAATATGCTATGAGATTATTATTTCGTGGTCCTGTTCAACGTGAATTATTACTTACAAGTGCAATAAGAAATTTTTTTGCTCGTGAAACATTACGTTTAGGTAAAGAATTTGATGATCCAAAATCACGTAAACATATACTAACATTTATTAAAATGTATCAAATTGATTTAAATGAATTACTTGAACCAGATATATCAAAATATTTTACATTTAATGAATTTTTTTATCGAAAATTAAAACCTAATGCAAGACCTATTGATAATCAAGATGATCCAAATATAATTGTATCAGCTGCTGATTGTCGTTTAATTTTATTTGATAATATATCTGAAGCAACACATATATGGATAAAAGGTAATCAATTTTCTCTTCGATATTTATTTGATGATGAAATATTAGCACAAGAATTTGATGGTGGTTCAATAGCAGTATTTCGTTTAGCACCAGCTGATTATCATCGTTTTCATTCACCAATTAAAGGAATTATTGGACAAAATATAAAAACTATAACTGGTACTTATTATACAGTTAATCCAATTGCAATCAGACAAAGATTAGATGTATTAACAAGAAATCAACGAGCAATGATTACTATTGAAAGTAATTATTTTGAGAGAGTAGTTTTTATAGCCATTGGAGCATTACTTGTTGGTTCAGTTAATTTTACGGTTACACCATATCAATCAATTGAAAAAGGCGATGAACTTGGTAAGATCAAAGGCAATCTTTATATTTTTTATTTCGTATATTAATAAAATATGTTGAATAACTGTCATTACAAAAGTCCTGAGAAAAAAAAATTTTTTCATTCCTTTGAAAATAATTAGTGAGAATTTGAAAACAATTTCTTCAAATCAAAATTTTGAAATCTTTCTGAATGTGTGTAAATATTTGTTTTTTAATCGACACTAGTCTTCGTTCTTACAACGTGTTTGTTCATAGTTACAATCAAATATAAGGCAAATAAATAGTCTGAACCGATATTTCAAATGAGTATACAATCGTATTTCAAATGAAGACTTTTTAATATTCTTCAGTAACTTTTATATGGTTAAAAAATGAACGAATATTTTATTTCAAGACTTTTCCAACAGAAATTACGTTAGTTTATTATTGAGAAAAACTTCAAGTTTGGATAATAAAAATTCTCATTTATTAGAATTGTAAATGATAATGTGAATAAAAGTAAATATTGTATTTATATAGGTTATTTTGCATATGGTGGTAGTACAATTGTTATTGTCTTTAAAGCTGGTATGGTAAAATGGGATGACGATTTACTACATAATTCAAAGAATTCTATGGAAACACTTGTTCGTATGGG